TGTGCACTAATTTTTCAAGATAAAAATAGTATTATACACTTAAAAGAGAAACAATAAATACGAATTTTGGAAAATAGATTTTTCTTAGATTAAAGATGATGCGTTTTTTCAACTTATCTCTTTTTTTTTTTTTTCTGGAATAAAGAAAGTATTTAAAATGAAACTCACATGTGGACGAAGATTTTGATGATCCAAGCACTCATGCTATGATCCTCAAAGAGGAGGAATATGTGTATACCTAAGATATATATATACGGCCATATATACTCCATTGGAACCAAGTGGAAGGAAGCAGCACATGTTCGCGATATGCTCGAACCTGATTAGAAGACCTCTCTTCAGTCCAAATTTAAGATTTGACAATTTAAACAGTAGATAATCGCTTGGGCCGTCCGACAAGGCATCAAAGAATAGATATGGAGATCAAATGTACGCCCTTTTAATTTCCATAGAAAATAATGTCGGAATCAAGTTGAATTTTGTGTCCATTGATTCCTTAAATTTAGCCGGCAAGAAGCATGTGATTTTGATAATTTGATGCATTTATGCTGTTCATGGATACCATTTGGACATTGAAATGTCTGTACTGTACATGCATTTAGATTTAGTAGGGAAAGAGAATAACAACTGAACGAGAATCTAGTTTTGCCTAAATTAACACCCTTAAGCACAACACAAAATTTTAGTGAGTGAGAGGAATTAAATGAGAATGTTGTTCATCGTCCAGTCGGTCTCATTTCTATTCTTGCTTCGTGTTCCTGACATGAAATTTGTACAGTACGTATCTGTTGGCTCAATGTACATTTGATTTGATCATCTTACTTCGTCATGTAGTTAGTGAGCTCCAAATGAAGGCTATTGGACCGATCGATGATGTCCTTTTTCTTTGTAATTTGTCTATATCCTTGTACTATTACACTATATTGAGGAGTGTTTCACACAAATGGATATACAGATCGGGACTCAAATACTGTGCTACCTGTTCAGGAAAAAAAATCATAAAGTGGACTATTTGAGCTATTATGACAATAATTAACGAGCATTTTACCTTACATTTTCTCATCTTACAAAATGGATGTTAATCACATATTGTTAGTAAAGCAATGAAATTCTAATAGAAATATAAGATGAAATACACAATATTTGTTGATAAGATTGCATAGTTTTCATAACCCAACTCCAAACTTTGTTAGGTTAATAAAATGTTACTCCCTCCATTTCAAAATGTAGGTCATTTTAGGTTTGGAGAGATTTTTCAAAATGTAGGTCGTTTTACAAATTCTACGCAAATTAATGATTATTTAATAAATGATGTTAATCTATTTTTATTTAGTCTTGTTTATAGTTTCAATGTAATTAATGAGAGGTAAAAAAGATATTTAACACATAAATTAATTGTTGGATTATTGTCTCCTTAGTTTACGTGCCAAGTCTAAAAAGACTTACATTTTGAAATGGAGGGAGTAATTAACTTTGTGGGGCTATTTTATGGTCTACAGTTAGCCTGGGACTTTGGTTTTCGATAGATTTTGGCGGAAGTTGATAGTAGCTCCGTAGCGAAGATGGTTTTGCATCCGTCTGATGTAACTGGCATTAACGGGAGGACCAGTTCAAGCTATTAAGGAGCTTCTGGGACGTCCATGGACTGTGAGAGTCAAGCATGAGTTTCGAGAGGCGAATTTCGTCGCAGATTGTCTTGCATCGCTAGCAGCTTCAAGCTCGGGAGACTATCATGGACTGGAGGATCTACTAAATGTAGTGAAACTTTAGCTCATGCATGATGTAACCATCTTACTCAAGAAATATTGTAATAAATTAGTATTAGGATTCGGCCTTTTTCTTTGAAATTAATTAATTAAACAATTTAGCACCACCTCCTCTCATCGTGGGCGTGCCGGAGTGGTTATCGCCTTATCGGGCATGACTAGAAATCATGTGGGCTCTGCCCGCGGAGGTTCGAATCCTGCCGCTCACGTTCCTCTATATATTCATTTTCAGCCTTTTGCAAATCGAGTTGATTCTCTTTGTTCACAAGTGTATTTTACACAAGTACCTTGTGTACTTGTACTCTGTAATTTTATTTATTTATTTTGCATAATACAGTTAAACATCTACAAATTAATACTGTTAAGACTCTAAAAATTTATTAATTCATCGATGTATTAATTTATCGATAAACTAATAATATTAATTTAAAGAAAATACTAAAGAATCCTTTTAATCTTTTAAGCTCATCAGTATAAGATTCATATAATTTTATTCCTTTATATCCCTTATGTATTAGAATTTAGACTTCATCATAATCTTAAATATTATAACCTATCAAATCTACGCATGCCTCTATCAAAAGAGATTTGACCCTTTTCTGGTAAATGTTTAAACTCTCATCAATGGCTTGATGAATAGGCAAAAAATTCATAACATCTACAATTTCTTAATATATAAATTTTAAGAAAAAACAAGCATCACTAAATTCATATTTTACTAACTCATTTTTTTCAAGTCATTATTAATTTATGACATTAACGGGACTTATATTTACATTGGAGTTTTTTGAAAAATTATTATCTTATTATTTTATCGACTGTCTTTTTTTTTTACTGATCCCGACTTGGGACCGGAGAAAATTATTAATTTATCGATTTTATTAATTTATCGATTATTAATTTATCGATGTTCTACTGGAGATAGGTTTTTTTAACATACTGAGAGGCATATAAAAATACCTAGATTACATCATAATAATACCAAACTGATCTAGCAGATACCAGATAGCCTAAATACTCGAAAAGAACCCAAATACGTCACATTAGGATCCCGCCGGATTTCAAGATGAGTAATGATTGGTACAGGGAAAAAATTACAAAAAAAATTACGAAGAAATGATTTCACACATCCATTGTTAAAACTTTCCAAATATAATTTATGCATTTAAGGTTAGGGTATAGTTAATATCTTAACACATCATTCCTTGTCATTTTTTCCTTTATCTATCACTACTCTTTGAGGATAGTGGATAGTATTGATCATATTGTATTTCCTTCCATCAATTAACAAGGAGAAAATGACAAGAAAAGGATCTCACCAATTAATTGTTAAAACATTTCAAATAGAGTTTATGCATCTAAAGTTATGATATAATTTAGATGTTTACCATCATTTCTAGACAATTTTTCTTGTCATTTTTTCCTTGTACCTATCACTACTTTATCTTAAATATGCATCACATGTAGTCATATTAGTTAACACACAAATACTAAATACGAGTTTTCCCTTTCTCAACCAAAGAAAATTTAGCAATAAATTTATTTCACTAATCTTATCATTTTCTTTTATTGTTATAGGAATGAGTTCCCTATATTGTTGTTGTCGTTGTTTATGCAACTGTATTTGTAAATTACAGTATAGTAAAAGCTCGAGGATGATAATTTTGGAATTTTCAAAAGCTCTTAGAAAAAATTGTCAAAACTTCGACCCACACATTGAACCATCATACCTCAATGATTTTTCTTTTTTTTTTTAAGGTGAACTAATATTTCACTGAAAATCCAACAACAATGATGTTAACTCAAATAATTAACAACAAATCAAATAAATTGTGATGTAGTGGAAGATATTCCTCTACCATTAATCATATGTGAGAGTTTGAACTTCGCCATGGATATAAATCAGTCTTAAATATTTTGACTAATTGTCTTATTTATTAATGTACCTATAATTTAGCAAGGAGGATTGGGCATTTTTGTTGACGATAGACAGTCTTCAAATACGAGAAGAAATAAAAATTGAACAACAAAATAAGTTAAATGAGAAAAAAGGACGGAAAGACAAAATATTAGAATTAGATTTTGAACTTCCTTCTATAGAACTAGAAGAGTAGAAGCAAAGAAAAAATGCTTACACAGTTACACTTGAGTCAAAATAACTTCTGAAGAAAAAGGAGGAAAAAAAATGATTAAAGCCAAAATAAATTCCTTTTAGAAGCAAAGGAAAAATGCTTACACTTGAGCCAAAATAACTTCTGAAGAAAACGAGAAAAAATGATAACTATCGCTAGAAGGAGGGCTTGAACCTCCGACCTTGTGGTTAACAGCCACACGCTCTAACCAACTGAGCTATTCCAGCTGTTGACAATGATACGGTGTATAATTACTTTTTAAGTCAATAATGTAGTAATTAACAAGGAAAAGTATAAAAGAAGGCGAAAAGTGGAAAACTACGCTAGAAGGAGGGCTTGAACCTCCGACCTTGTGGTTAACAGCCACACGCTCTAACCAACTGAGCTATTCCAGCTTTTGTTATGATAGGTCCGTTAATTAATTAAAAGAGCGTGCCTTAATCACGACTAAAACCATCACAAGCAATTAGCAATAAGCGTCCTTCCTGGGGGTTAAGGTATCCCTGATCTCTATCTGGCATCTGCTCATTCGCATTCTACATTCTGAGCGGAAAGTGCATAAACCCTGAGAACCATATCTCGATTCTCGATGATGCATTTAAAAACCATCAAGCGAGTTAATCAAGTGGAGTAAAAGACCTCAACAACTGTTCTAAAGAGACTGTTATTTGCCGATAACTTCCAGCTTAAGGGGGCGAAAATTTAAACCCAAGACTGACAGAACTGAAAAATCATTCGAGAAAAACCTCTAACATTGAACACCCATGTCCAGAGGGTTGTAGCTCTCAGAATATAGAATGAACATAGAAGAAACAAGAACAGTTTCATTTATGTACTTTAGTCCTGAATTCCCTTTTAATCTTTGAAGACAATGTACCTAGCAGAGCCAAACTACAAAAAGGCAGCAAACCATTTCCTGCACAATGTTATATGTGACGGTTGAATCGCCTTATGATACAAAACTTTTCGTAGCAGATGGCAATATGCCATCTTTGGAAGGTGCTACGAAATTTTATTGTTTACTATATGCAAATGAATAAAAAAAAAAATACAAAAAGAAGGGGGGAAAAAAAAACAAGAATGTACAACAGAATCGACCTATCTAAGCCTTCCACTTTCGCAAAAGTTCATCGTAAACAGCCAATTTTCCTTTTTGTACCAGGCTCTGCTTTAACTTGGACAATGTAGGAGGGGTCAATTTTATTCGACATTCTATCATATCCTCGGCATATTTAAGTGCTTCTGGTAGCCTATTCATACCACGAAGACTTAAAACCAACAAGTTCCCTGTCTCCTCCAAATCAAAATTGTAGTTTTCAATCATACATTTCCAAACCTTGATGGCCGTATAAGGGTCTCCACCATCTACAAAGTTTCTGACTGCTGAACTGCAATTAGAATGGTTGGGGACAAACTCATTTTTCATCATCTCGGAAAATATTGATGAAGCCTCTTTCAGCTTTCTGCTTTTAAGCAAGTAGTAAAAATAGAGATTGTAGGTTTCCGAATTTGGGAATACACCATGGTATATCATCTCATTTAACAGCTTTCCAGCGACGTCAAATTCCTTGACGATACAGTTTAAGCCAATCATCAAATTGTACATCTCCGTGTCAGGTAGAAAATCATCTTTCTTTAGCATCACCTCCCAAATCAAACCAGCATTTTTCGCGTCATTCTTCCTAGAACAGTCTTCGATTGCTAGCTTGAAAAACTTTATTCCAGGAAAGCAACACCTCTCCGTCATCAATGAAAAACTCTCAGAGCTTCAGTCATCCCTTCAGGACCTTTCAGCAAAGTAGTCAAATATGAGTCATAGGCAGGTAAATTTCCGGGATCCCACCCTACATCCACCACCATTTCTGAAAAAGTGTCCCTAGCCCCAACCACATTCTTCTCATTTTCCCGTCCCTCAAACAAAATGGCATATGTATCAGCATCAAACCTAATCCTCCCCTTCACAGTATCGACAAATTCTTTGGCCTCCTGGGTTTTACCTTCTCTGCAAATTGGACTAAGCAGTGAATTAAAAGCTACAATGTCCCTAGGAAAACCATACTGATCCATAACCTCAAATGTCATAATAGCCTCCAGAACACGATTCGCAATCACATAACTACCAAATACAGAAGAAAAATTTGATAATGAAAGCAACTCTTCTTTTCTCATTGATTTAATTGCATCCCACATTGCATCAAACTGACCATCTTTGCCCAAAATATCGATAACCAAGTTCCACGCATAAGGGCTATGTTCATCCCTAAGTTGGTAATCGGCCCACCGAAAAAACTTAACAGCCGGGCCAGGGAATCCATAGGACAACTTAAGAACTCCTTCTACATCTTCCTGAGAAACACTTATGCCTCTGTCTTCAAGAATTCTTTCAACAGTGACAGATGGAGTGGTGGCTATGATTTCACATGACAATTTAACTTTCGGAGGCAAACCAGGGACCTCAAGATATGAAGGAAAAGTTGAAAGCTTACTCTTTTGCTCTGAATGCTGAGAACTGCGATGATGTGTATTTATGTCCTTCGTTTGGCGGCTTGAAGAAACCGATGAAGAATGAGGCTTCTTGCTGGGTTGAAGTTTGGAGGAGGATGTTGAGGATGAATCGTCATTGCGTGGACGCTTCGTATTCTTTCCCATTGATTTCCATAGAAACTAATTCAAAAATCTAGTCTTTAACATCTTGGAAAGCAAATTGAACCCTAATTGAAGACAATGAAGAATTGGGAAAGCAGGAAACGCAGGACTTTTAAGGCGCCTAAAATATAGTAATGTTCTATGTACATGGCACTCTAATTACAAAAAGAAACCCCAGGGTTTCCATCTTACTGCGAAAACCTCTTACCGTTTGTACATAATTACGATTATTACCCATAGTACCTCTAATGATTCTTGAACCGTAAGTTTTATTGGCCAACGCTCAAACCGGCAACAAGGATAAACCTACATTTTTTTGGGTACACATTTTGATATGCAAATGTTTGAAGATGAAATTTATAGTTAGGACTATTTTTGTCTTAAAGTAAAAGTTATTGTTGATGTTTACCATCATCATCATTTTTTAAAATTTATATTTTGTCTACAATCTAAAAGAATCTTTTAATTAAAGAGTGGGTGAAAATTTTGACAAAGTATTTCCAAATATTGAGGGTTTCTTCATAGTAAAATCAAATTATGGAAATTTTTTAATATAAATTTGGCCCCTTTTTTAAGCTAAAAAAGGTTGATTTTTTTTTAATAAAATATACTCCCTCCGTCCCATAATTATTGTCCACTTTGCCCAAAATTATTGTCTAATTTGACTTTTTATGGATCAAGTTACACATTTGTCCTTAGTAAAAAACATTATCCATAAAATCTTAGTGGTTAAACAATTACTTATGTAGGGGTATATCCAGATGTTTAAGGTAAAATATAATTAAGTTTGACCAAAAATAAAATCTTTCATTTTAGTAAAATTGGACAATAATTATGGGACAGAGGGAGTAATTAAATCAAAATAATAATAACAGTGAAATCTTACTATTTCTCTATAAAGAAAGAAGAGAACAGGTGAAATTAAATTACGTTTGTGACAAATTATAATAATCATATAAAATGATCGGCTCTAGTCCAAAACAACATCTTTGTATCCTAATTTATCCTAGTCACTATTTGTACTTTTATTAAGTTTCTTCCCCCACTAGTCTCTACACCATTTTTTTTTCATGATTTCACAAATTGTTATACCTAGAAAATGAGATATTAATTTTATTCAAATTAAAGCCCATGTTCGTCGAAAAATTCTAATCAAACTCCGATGGTTTCTTCTATTTCCCAACCTCCATGCAATTCTTCACAATTTGGCCCTACTGTTAGTCCTCCATCTCTTTTGGTTGCAAAGGGTCTTGAGAATTGGTACTTTTTGTTGCAAAAAGAATGGAGAATTGGAGAATTGATTAAATATTGGCTATTTCCCTGCACAGAAGTCTTGGAAGATTGAAAATTTTGGGAAGTTAATTGACTATTCTTGAGAATTGTATGGGTTATTTGATGAGAGATTGATGGTTGAGGGATTTTAATTAAGATGAAGGAAAATAAAAGTGTGAAAAATCATGGAGAATTACGATGACATTGAATACGGGTTGTTGTTATGGATGAGAGTATTTTTGAAAAAATATAGTATTTAAAAATTGAGAACGATATATATACTTATAAGAATTTTTGAGGATTTCTCCAGCGACATGTATTTGAGACTGGAGGGAGTACCTTATAATTTTTGTTAAACAACGAGTGAATTCTTCCTAGCTTATGAAATTAGGGGGTCATCCGTAGGTTTCCTAAATTATAGGGGTCATTGGTAATTTTCTCCAAGAAGTAAGAATCAACCAAAAAACTAATTTCCAAAAAAGTGAAAAACCAAAGGGAAGATCACTGTCCTTTTGACTGGCCAGTGACGCCTCATTCTTAACAATTTCCTTTACGATCCCCAAGGAACGTGCAGCAGTTACAACAAGTAGCTAATTACTATCTCTTCGAGTTTGCAGCTTTAAAACCAATTTCTGAGAAAGATTGGTCCTTTAAATTAATTTTAATTAGGTCATGTCTGTGGAAGCCCCTGTGATGGCGGAGCAGCAAAACCCTTTATCTGCTGATGATGTTGAGCCACCCCAGTTGCCAACAACGGCCATCGCAGCTCAGTCTAAAACAAGTAATTGCTTTTATCCTTTCATTTTGTTCGGTTATGCTCCATTGGGTGAAAAGCGAAAATTGGGTTGTGGACTTGTAAGCAGTAAACTGTAGACCTCCTTAGGAAATGCGAAAACTATGTAAAAGCGAAAATTTTGTTGGTAAATGATGTTCGGGCACTCTCGATTTTGTTTATCACTGAGGTTTTCTAGTATTCTTGTTGTCTGCTCGAGGAAAAACCATGGACTTTGAGGAGTGTCTGGTTTTTAAATTTGACTTGTCTGTGATTATGGTCCATATGGATGGTCTTTTTCTTTCTCATGGTCTTAACAGCACTTTTTGAGGCGCTTAAAGATTCTTAATTCCTGATTAGATTAAAGACTATATGATTGTTTAATAAGGTATGCGAAAACGGATTCCACCAAGTTTTCAGCTGTGGATGAGTGCTACTATCTCTACATAATGTTGCTTACTGATATCTCTGCTGAATAAAGGTTTTGTGGTTCTTTCTCAACTTGAGCCTATCAAGTTTTATCAATTTGCCCTGAAGAAAATCTTGGTCGTCAGTTAGTTATGTATAGTCTTTCGTGTAACTTGAAAAATGTCCGTTGTGTAACTTGAAAAATATCTTATTTAGTTGCCTTTTGTACTAGGTGGTTCAAATATCCTCATGTACAAGAATTGGCTTCAGGAATTTGCTGCCCGGGCATCTTTACAGTTCCCTGTATACAGGACTGTTAATGAAGGAGCTCCACATGACCCCAAGTTTAGATCCACTGTTACAGTAAATGGAATGGCTTACACATCTCCACACACTTTTTCACAGCGAAAGAATGCAGAACAAGATGCTGCCAGAATCGCCCTTGAATGTGTTACACAAAAGTTGAAGAATGAGAGCTGCCTTCTTATCCGTGAGGTATTTTTTATGCATTCGCTGTCTTCGAATTCTCCGTTGTTTAGCTTGGACTATCTGGATATGTTTTTGTGAAATAGTCGTGCATGTCTCCTCATGTGTGTTTTGCCAAGTATTTGTCACAACGACCAGCTGGTTGCTAACTCATTTGATATGAAGATCCAGTAAATTGTCTCTTTGAGCTTGGTGTTTGGCCCTCTTGCGCAATTTTTAGTGGGTGTACTTGTTTGTAACCCCCAATGAAGAACTTTGATTTTCTTATAAAAGTAAAGATCTAAATAATAATAAATTCCTACGTGTAATTGTTTAGTTTCTGTACCTTGAAAAAATCCTCACAAATAATCCATTCTTAGCTTCCTACTTTATATATAGAACAGCAGAAAATTTATATTCTGAGTGCTGCAGTCGAAGCGAGATGCTATTATATTGTTTACCGGTGTTCCAAAATTGATAATTTATATGTGTACTGTTCAATGCTTTTTATGGTTAGGATAGTGAGGTTTCTAGATGCAGATATCACATGCTGCAATGAAAATGTAAAAGTTAATCTAGTGATGGATGCTTCATACAGCGAGTAGCAAGATGGAGGACCAGCTCCAGCTAGTTCTGCTCCTGGCTAATATTTTCTGTGCTAGAGAGAAAAAGGACTTGTGTAAATTGGTGGGACTCCCTCTCTGACTTATCTTTAAGATCAAATTTTGGCTGATAATTTCAGATTCTTTTCACATGAGGAAAACATTTGACATAGGGTAACATTGGGAATTGAACCTAAAGTTCAAGCAAGTATCTGGAACTTGAGATTATAGTATCATAAATTCCTTACTGTAAGAGAATGACGGATTATTTTGTTATACTACCGAGCCCTCACTGATATGATTCTCAAAGATTAATAACATGTGTCTTTCGTTCTTTGAGTATGCTTGCGAAGTAAGCATTGTTTTTCTTTTATACTTAAAATGGCTAATATATTTAGTTACATTTCTTCTAGTTTTGGTATGATTTTTGTCCTATCTTTCTTTTTTTCAGGACTCTACTTTTTGCAAGTCTATCCTGAATGAATATGCAGCGAAGATGCATTTGACCTTGCCATCCTATCAAACCAAAATTGAGTCGGGATTACTTCCTGTATTTGTGTCTTCAGTAGATTTCAATGGTGTTAGTTATACAGGAAATAAGGGTAGAAACAAGAAAGAGGCCAAACAATTGGCAGCTCGTGACGCCATTCTATCCATATTGGGTACTTACAGGCTTCTTCATTTCTACTTTTCTTTTCTTGTGAATTCTTTCTTCGACCAGGTGTCTTTATGCTTTTGGTTTTGATTTATCGCATTGTATAGACTCTGGGGGTGAATCATTGAACATGATGGTTGCGGTCATAAGATCAAAAATCAAGCTTTATGCTGTTACGAGCAAAAGTAACGACAGCTCCAGCATGTGCGGTGTAGCTGTTTCTGCCGTGACCGCACGAGAGGATCTTCTTTCCCCGTTGAATAAACGAAAAGAGGCTGAAATAATTTCCAGTATTGTTAATATATCTGGTGTGGGCGTTAGTGAGTCCACCTTAGATGTATTTGCCAGGATGCAACCAGCACATCTGCCTATTCATCATTTCAAAAAGCATAAGGAAGAAACCACCTCAACAGTCGTAGTTCCTTCCATTGAATTTGTGCCGTCAGGGTCAGAGCCGGCTGTGGTTCCTCCAATTTCTACTGCAAAGAAAAACCGTAAGAAGAAGGGTAAAAGAAGACTGCAAATTGGTCCTGAGTAAGTTCATTTGCTTGCTTGATACTTTAAAGCTTAATGTCATTTGTTATTTTAATAGGAATTCTTAAGAATACCCAATTCTATATTGGTAGGTTTTGTTTACACTGCTGAAACTTTAGTTGGACCTTGGTATCAGCCACTTTCTTATAATAATTTTTATTTTGAGCTTGAATTTAGTCAAGACCTATTTCTGCTGGGATTTTTTTATGGGTTCCATTGCAAACCAAGTATAGTGTCCAATCCCATCCATTCCCACCTTTCCTGTACTGCATTGAAAGGCACGTGGTCCCTATTCCAGATTTTTAGGTTCATGCGGTTTGCTGAAAGGTAAAAGTTCTCAGGTCTAAGTTGACCATTAAGTTAAATAACTTAATCATTTAGTCCTTATGTATTGCAGAATGCCTGTTGGGTTAGTACCGATGACTGAAATTACTCCTTCAGTAACACAATGAGAGGCTGGCGGTATTCCTATTCACGTGAGTATATACACATTATCTTTCTTATCAATTTAGAAATAGATCGCGTTCTTAACTAATTACTTTACCTATGATGCAAATGCTTCTTATCAATTTAGAAACAGCTCGCACTCTTAACTAATTACTTTACCTATGATGCGAATGCAGTTTTTGCCGCTTGCTGTATAGACCTGGAACATCCATGGTTAGACCAGGGACATGGATGTTGTTTCTGATCTTTATTACCCCCTCCCCCTTCCTGCATTTGTAGTGTTCCTATTTTACAAAATTAGCTTAGTTCTGTATCTCCTTGTTGCACTGGTCTGTGCTATGTAGGAACTAAAAGAAAATTTCAATATAATGATGTTGGCCCTCTTCATTTTTGTTTCCTTTATGTGCTCGAGTTGGCTCGTACTGATGGAATCAGTTTTTTTTTAACGTTAAGCATTCTGGTTCTCCCAGTTCATATATAACCATTTTTCATATTTTTAGAAGGAAGTTACCAAATGGATAGAATTATAGAGAAAATTAGATTCAGAGTCTTGCAAGTATAATTGGTCTGATCCCAGAAGAGGGATAGTTTTAACTTTTAAGGCTGCAACATATGAGCTGTTATTGCTAATTTGTATATTCTCAATGGCTGCTGTAGACGAATGTGGGTATTAAATGAACATGGGTTTTGGAGATTATGTTGTCTTTTAACTCTTTCCTGTCTCTTATTAGTAAGAGGATGAATGCACAAAACAAATCTCCTTATAACAAGGAATTCCTCTTCTCCCATTGCCAGCTTTGATTTCCACATTTCCCATTTCCAGTTTTCGGTGTAAAATCTTTATCGGGTTTGTGGATTGTACATTACTCCTTCCGTTACACTTATATATTTCACTTTGCTGATTGTGTTTCACTATCCACATTAAATCAATACTGCAGAACTTTTTACTACTGGTTGGCATTTTACCATGTGCAAGTGCCATTAATCTTGTGAGTTATGAAAATGAGGATCAAGTTAAGGTGTAACCTAAACACGTTGACAGAATGTAACAAGTAATAAAAAATTGGCCAAGATCCACGTGCTTATGGCTCTGTAAGTAGCACTAAACAGTAGGAAAGCTGGTAGGAAAGCCCCCTTTTTTTTTCCTGAAGGAAAAATTTAAAGGCTACAGAGTCCAGGTTCTTGACAGTGGGAGTAAGAATGGCGGAAGGAATCTGAGACGTGGGTTGGCGGAAGATCCGCCGTAGGTTCTGCTGATTTGCAGCTATTTTATCTACTCTGTTCTTCGTTTCTTCATCCAGTTAAAAGTCTTACTTCTGCCAGCTAACAGTAAACAGTGGTGGAATAAATATATATGAAGTTGATTACATCTATGTACCCTCACTTTTAATTGGTTGGACTGTTTTTTCTGCTTGTTTCCAGATTGGTTTATTTTAAAGGCAACGTTAATATAAAATTAACAGAAAAGTTCACACTATATAATCCTATGAAGCATCAAGTTTGAATGGCGCACCAACATCAGTGTTGTCCTTATCTGTAACTGAGCTAGCTTCACTACTAGCTCATTCAGTTTGTTTCACCTCAAAATTCCTTCCACCTATGGAACTTCTCAAAGACCATGAACCTAGAAATTCCACTTTGTGTTTGATTCAGCCTCATCCATACGGTAAAAGTGAGTTTGGAGAAGATTCAGACAATGGTTCCACAGGGCTTAATTACTTGATAGATGTAAAACCAGAGAAAATATATGAAGATGGTAGCGGATCGGAGAGTATTGCCAAGAATTTCGCCGCGGCGACCAGCCCTTCTTCACTTTCAAGTCCAAGCAGCACAAATTCTGATGGGATGGGTGGAAATCAGGGCTTGAACTATCAGCCTGAAGATGGTCATTCTCTGATCAACTACAATGCCGGATATGGTAACTTTGTTGAGAACAATGCTGGATCTTTGTCCTGTTTTGGACGATCCCAGAGTGCTTTCCCTAAAATGATAAGCAACCAAGATGATAATTACTCGATGTGGGAAGACAATTTGCATTACCATTATCAGAATCAGCTGGATTCCAGGGGAAGCAATGCTCCTAATCCCAGAATTTTGGAGAATTCTCAGAGCATCCAAGCAAATGGTGGACTCCCATTTGAGTGGCTTAGCGCAGAAGCTAATGCCAGCGACACTATCAATAACAGCATCCAGGATCATGGAAGATATCCAGGCTTGAATAACAAGCGTCCTTTCATGGTAATTTGTCGTGATTCCTTCTTTGTTGCAACTACTTTAGCAGTACTATATATATGTAGTTAATGCATGGTTGTTATAGGAAACTAAGGATTTATTCGGATTCTAATCTCAAGATCTTCGCTGAATTATGATTGATAAATTGTTGCAGGGAGAGCAGCCACAAGCTTCTAAGAAGCAATGCAATGCTGCGAGAACTCTGAAGTCTAAGTCAACGGCAGGATCATCGACGAAAGATCCGCAAAGTATTGCAGCTAAGGTTGGTTCTCTTCTCTAAATTCTCTGCACACTAAGATCAATCTGAATGATTTGAAATATGGAATGTTTAAAGCTTTGAGGAATGTTTGTGTTGCAGAACCGAAGAGAACGCATCAGTGAGCGACTTAAGATACTACAAGATCTTGTTCCGAATGGTTCCAAGGTAAATGATTTGTTCACAAAATGAAGACAAAGTCCACCATGTTCAAGTGATCTTAGAATTTGTCTTTTTCATATTGACCTCTTTTTTTTTTTTTAACTTGTCCTTGCAGGTTGATTTGGTGACAATGCTAGAAAAAGCAATCAGTTATGTCAAGTTTCTCCAGTTGCAAGTGAAGGTTTGTCCATATTTGGCTTCTCTTTTGTCCATTTTTGCATAGCCCTGAAATTGATCTGACATCAGATCAAAGTTTGTTCTTTTTTTTTCCTTTCCTTTCCTTTCCTTTTGCTAATTTTATAATTGGATATGGCAGGTGTTGGCGACCGATGAGTTTTGGCCGGCGCAAGGTGGGAAAGCGCTTGATCTGTCACAAGTGCAAGAAGCCATTGATGCCATCCTCGCAGCATCTCGAAGAGAAAGGAACTCAAATTCATCATCAAAGTCATAGAAGCCAGCCTGCATTCATCATCGGATCAATACTAATTTTGCACGAGGAAGATGATGAAGAAAAAGTTTACTACATTTTGTTGGCTAATGAAGCACATTGACTTTGTCAATTAACCCTTCTTAGTTTCTTGTTCCTCTTCGGGGGGAAGTTGAGTGAGGAAGGGAACTAAGCTGTACATTTGAAAACCATGATGAGCTTCTTTTTCTGAATTCATCTTCTTTGGATTAGGTAATTTTTAGCATCTTTGTAACCCTATTGTAGCTTCAATCCAGTCTTGAACCCTGGACACCAAACAAAATCTGTGTCCAGTTATATTGTACCAAGAATTAGTGAATCTTGTATGATTTGTCTTACCATGTCAAATTCAAGGCGGAAAGTAAGAAATCCGAAATTCTCGTCGTCTCATTTGCAACTTTAACTATCGGGTTTAATAATTTGCCTTATTCATCATCTTCATCTTCTTTGAACCCCTGTATATATGAATGATAAACAGTCAACTCTACAAGCACATGAAAGTATTTATGTGGCCAATTATCATTCATGGATCCAAACTGTTTCTGCAAGCATGAGCCAGGACATAAGGATTGAGAGTTGAATATGGTAATTAAGCTGGCTGGCTTCACGACATAGACCACAAATCACCATCTGCTTCATGCCTTAGTATTTAGTCTATTATTAATTTAATCTAGTTTTTTTTCCCTAATAATCCAGATAATTAAAATTTTCAAGGGATTGAAACCATGTTTCTTAATTAACTGGACCGAACCTTCCAATCTGTTGTGCGTAGATTACATTAGTGACTACAGACTAATGAGTAATTTGTGAGTAAATATTAGAGACCAGTGACCACTAGCAAGGGCACGTGCCATTTTTAACTAAGCATTCACATGCCTAATCACATGCCCAATCTTATATATGAGGTGTCATGCATCTCCCAAACTATATTATTCAAAGAAAGAAAATCAGATTAAATATACATTGTCAGATGTAATTTCAAGTATGATACTGAATATGGTTTGAAAATTCTACTACTAAATTAATTACAACATTCTTTCTTTGTTGTCTTGACTCTTGAGAGTGATCAATTGTGCCTCTTCAATGCGATTCCGTTCTCCCCCAGAAAGGAGTTAATTTAATTAATGAATTACAGTTACTTGATAAAAAAAAAATTATGGTAAAAAATCATGTAATTATAGCCAGAATTTGCTCACATATTGAGTTTTCCATTTTATATTATTTTTTTGATCGTAAAGACTGCTATTGATCTGAAAAAAATTCTTTCAGACTTAAAATGGGTGAAAAGGGAGGGAATAAGAAAAACAAACCAATATACCGCTCCTCATGCAAATGCGGTCGTACACCCCCAAAAAAAAAAAAAAAAGAGGGTCAAGAATGTGGGCAAATGATTAATCAAAATATCAGATGCAAGATTGATCTGTCTCCTGTACAATTTTATTAAAATACCACCATTTTCTAAAAAATTGTCTTCCATTCTTTCCTCTCCCATAGATTGGTTGTCCTTGCACCCAATATTTTTTAGCCCAATGATTGAGAGGATGATGATTCTTGATTATTACACAATGAATCTTGAGTATTTGGAGATGAACAAGTTTTGTGTAGATGCGATGGTCATCCCAAAAGATTGGAAGCTGGTTGTTTTGCGGTTTGTGATGTTGTGAGTTGCTCTTCTTCAAATTGGTTTGTTTTGCTAGCTAGCTAGGGGAAAATCTTCTGGTATTCCTACACCGATTCTTTCGTTTTTTTGAGCCTCCTTTTTTATCAGCTCCTTTTCTTTTGTTTGCTTTTCTGTTCATAGACTTTGTATCACCTTGTAAATAGTAACGTACTGTAATTCCTCATTTTCCCCCAACTTGAAAGTTCATTTCGAGCCATGCCTCCATTGTGTTTTTACAATCTTACCTCATAGGTAGAGTAGATGGGCCTTGACAGAATTAAATCTACTCTTTGTTTATCTATTCAGCAGTTCAGCACTCAGTAGTTCGTGAGTTGGTAAAAAAATAAATTGGGTGGCTCTTCAAAACCTGGAATGCTTCCTCAATTTTATTTTTTTAATTAATCTTCGTCACATCATTCCTTTTTTTTTTTTTTTTCCAATCTACTGTTTCCTCAATTTTAATTTTACGAAACATTTGACAATGTGTGACATGACTATGTTAAGAAAATACGTTTAGCAGGACGCTACTCTAATTTCATGTGACGTTGGCTTAGCAGTTTGTCAAATCTCATTCCCGGGCACTTACAAGTTCGTGAGTCTCTCATCTACCATTTCCAATCCAACCACACTGGAATTTATGGACTAGATGTATCTAACTTGTGTAACTACTGCTCTCTGTTTCCCAAAATTATTGTTTTGTTGGAGATTTCACTTTTAGTACAATTTAAATCCTAAACCCCTTCCAAAAAAAAAAAAAAAGACCACCCTACTTTAATGTAGACAAAAGTAGCTATAATATGTATATGAAATATAAGTTAAAAATCGGCATGTCATTTCAAGTTTGAACCATTCCTCAGTAGCTGTAATACACTTCGGCTTGTTAAAATTATAAGATACAAGTATAAATTAAAATAAGACATGAATTTAACTCAAATTACTTTATAATACTATAAGACCGCATCGAGATTTTCTTCTTTTATTCTTCTATATACCGGAAAAAACACCTTTTGCTTTTGGAAGCATTGTATATTTGTATTTGAATTTAAAATTGAAAGTTGATAATCCACAAAATAATAATGAAATATGGAAAACATGAAACAGTCGCACCAACTCGCCTGCCAAATCAGTACTCAGTCACTAGCCCGACAGCATTGACTTTCTCACTCTGAAAGTCATCAGCTAAATATTGAAGGCGGCCGGTGTCCATTTAGCACACAAACGATCACAGACACTCTGAAAACACAGACATGGAACTGGAAGTCATTCAAGTAATCCGACAATGGATGCAAGGAGAATTCAACAACTTCATTAAGGTATGGCTTCTGGAATTCGCATCCTTGTGCTATTGCTATTTTGCTGCCAAAATTGTCCCAAATAAACCATTCCTCAAACTCCTCATTTTCCTTCCTGTCGTGATCCTCAATCTCATCCTCCCATTCAATCTTCACACACTACACCTCGGAATCTCCACCGCTTTCTTCTTAGCTTGGCTCTGCAACTTCAAACTCCTCATGCTTGCCTTTAACACCGGCCCTTTGTCTGATTCCTCTTTGTCCATTTCCCATTTCTTAGCCCTTGCTTGTCTCCCCATCAAATTCCACAATCAAAGTTCAGTTGGGAAGAAGACTGATTCTAAAGAGAACCCTTCATTGGAAAAACGAAAAGGCCTCAAATCAATTTGGAATTATGGGATCAAGTCTCTGCTCATTCCTCTGTTTCTTAAAGTTTACGATTATGAAGACTATATAGTTCAAATTCATCCAAAGCTTATGCTGGTGGTTTACACTGTTCATATCTACGTTGGATTGGAAATCTTACTGGCGATTTTTGGAGGTTTAGCTCGAATTTTTCTGGGCATAGAACTTGAGCCTCAGTTTGACGAGCCATATTTGTCAACGTCCCTGCAAGACTTCTGGGGAAGGAGATGGAATATTATGGTGACACGTATACTGCGCCCGTCGGTCTACGAACCGGTTCGTGAGTTCTCTAAACGGGTTGTGGGCCGAAAATGGGCCCCTTTACCAGCTATTTCGGCGACATTTATGGTGACGGCCATTATGCACGAGCTTGTTTTCTTTTACATGGGCCGACGGTGGCCCACTTGGGAGATTTCGGCTTTTTTCTTCCTCCATGGTCTGTGCTTGGTACTTGAGGTTGGAGTGAAGAAACACTTCGCCGGCCGTCGAGGTTTGCCCCGGGTAATTGCTGCGCCGTTGGCCGTAGGGTTCGTGATGGTCACCGGATTCTGGTTGTTTTTCCCGGAATTTTTAAAGAGTAATGCGATGGAGAGAGCAAATGAAGAGTATGCAGCTATGGCTGGCTTCGTGAGGGATGTTTGGAAGGCTTTGGTTCTCGATTTTCAGAGTGGTAGTAATGCAACTAGTTCGCGTTTTGCATGAGATTATTGATCTCGTTGTGATCTTTTTTCCAGTCTAATTTACCTATTGTTGCTCATAATTTGGATAAAGTGCCGTATCTTTTCCCTTGCTTTCATCTCTTCCAAGTGAATGAAAAGCCAACCAATTAGTGGTGACGGAACAAGAACTATTAAATTGTGGGGTCAAAAATAGGATAATTTAACCACGACTAAGGAATTAAATTTTTAATTAACAGACATCCTACTAAGAAAAAATTAGGTCAAATTCGACCGTTCAAGGGTCAATCGACCACCTGACCCCCTTACAGTATTTAAAAACTCTAATGTAGTCATTTTTTTTTTTTTACATTTTCAATATGGCCTCTTCTTTTTATACTATTTTCTCTATCTCAGAAAACATTATTCATGTTAAGTATAGAAGACCGTCAAAAAAATAATAATAATAATAACAACACAAATCTTAAAACTTATAGTAAACTACAAAAAATTTAATTGTATGTTTTGTTTTGTTTTGTTTTTTTGACGGAGAAAATATTGTTTCAAAGAAAAATCATAATGGAGTTTGGAAATGGACTTTTTGTAAGCCCAGATCCTCAATAATGGATACCGGACTAAGCCTAAGAGGATCCGCAGCTGGGGTCTTATGAGCTTAAGCCTAATAGCAGATCACCATTTTAAGTCGAATAAGTTGACAAAATCACAACACGACATGGTAGATAAATTTATTAATGTTACTGTTTTATCTCAAGAATCAAGTTAATTACGAATATTTCAATTTGGAAAAAACAAATCGCAAGTGTTGTACATTATATTTATGGGACAAAATTTGAGTGTCAAATTCGGTAGGATTGCCCGATGAAAGAAAGATGTAAAGTCACCGAACAGATTTTATTTTATTTTTTTTTCTTATGTGAGAATGAAGACGAAATTTCATGATTTCGTTTACGAAGATCACACCAAATTCCATTTTTTGGACAAAACATGAACGGGTGGAGATTGCAAAAAGGGTATCGGAAACCTATAACGCGACAAGGCCGATTGATACGTCTTAAAAGTGATAATTCGATACAAGAATTTCACAAAGTTAATGCTGACCTTAAAAAACACAAAGCAACTACGTGAGTAGTAGTATAAAATAATTTCAGTCATGACATGACATCCAAGCCTAACTTGCGTACAATTATGTTATATATCCAAAGTCTTTAACTTTGTGAACCTAATTGTGTCGGACTGAATTTTTTTTTTTTTTTTTTTTTAACTTTCAACCTAGCATGTATCTTAATTTTTCTTTTGTCACCTCAAATACAATAAAATTCACTAAGCCACCTGATTTTTGGACAAAATTAATCACATGTGTAACCAAATTCCTGCCCAAAATGTAATAATTATATTTAAATTAAACAAGCATTTTAAAACGAAGACATACAATATGAAATTTGTCATCAATAAAATTACCCTTTTCACCTGAAAGGTTTTAACAAACCTCTCCTCCTAGGCCTAGGAGGTAACCCGCCTACACTTTCCCTACCAACTGCTCTCCTTTTTTTTTTTTCCTGGATGCTAATAAAGTGTAAATTTCTGAATATATATCGTCGGTAGTAGTAATAAGGTTATCACTATCCAAGGAAAATGACCAAAAACTTTGGGGGCTGTGGGGAAATGGCCATACTACAAAAGTCAGTGAGATACCTTTCCTACATAAATTATCGTACCCAAATTCCAAACCCAACTTGGTCTATATACACAGACTTCCTTATCTATCAAAACATATGAAAACACTAAAAAAAAAAAAAAAAACTAAAACGAATTAGTATCCCAACGGTGATTGGATATAACATGCATGCCCCGAAATCCAGATCTCATTTTGTGGTACTATACCTTGAAAAACTTAAACGATAATGTTTCAATTGTAAACCTCAAACTCCAATGGTGAATTAGAAAAAAGAAAAACCAAACGTTGATGCCTGAACTAACTGATGCCAAAGAAATTCCATTAATTAGCAGTGAAATTCGGCTACCTCTGACGGACCCCTCCATTAGCCCGCTCTCCTAACCTCCAATTTTAAGCCCCCCAAAAAAAAAAACCAAAAAACATTTCTGTTAAAACGTGAAATATCATCCCATCTTTTCTTCGGTTTCTTCTTTCTCCTCTGCAGTTCCCTTCCTCCAACCATACCCCACACCTAACCCCCTACGAATTCTCCCTTTCCTTTTTCAGTTTTTCTTTTTCTTGGTTACGACTCTCTCTGCCCCTTTTTATATAGTATAGTATATCTAAACTGTTGCTTAAAGCCACGCTCCAATTTCTCAAATCTCAAACAATTCCTCTCCTCCTTTCGTTTTTCTTTTTTAATCCAGTACTACTGTTATTTTTTTTAATTATAATTAATTAAAAAAAAAGAATACCACTTCTTTTCTATTGTTGAGATCTTTTTTCTAGGGACTATATAGGAGAGTGATAACTCCTGAAGTTTAGCATTAATATTCCTAATAATTATCATTCCCCCCCCCACACTTTTCGCATCATTTCCTAATCTAACTTCATATACTCGTTCTCCCCAACCCGGAGAGAGCCCCACGGCGGGGGTTAGCAAAAAAAAATAAAAAAATACTACTACTATTATGGAAATGGACTCGCCGACCCACCACCACTTCGGTGTCGCTGCCGCCGCCGCTCCTCCTCCTACTTCTACTACGACGGCAGCAGCGTCACTAGTCGAAGAAGCAACCGCCGCCGGCGACAGTCCTGATTACAATACGACGCCTCGGGGTTTGAGCTCCGCTAAAGTGAGTGAGACTCTCCGGCTTGTTCAGTCTCATGTCCTGGAGATCAGAGTTGAAGCTGCTAAAGAGATCAGGCGGCTTACTAAGACGTCTCAGAGGTACCGCCGTTATTTCTCCGGCGCCGTTAGGCCTCTTGTTCAGATGCTAAGTTATGAGTCCGTTGAGGCTAATGAATCCGCGCTTCTCGCTCTCCTCAATCTCGCCGTCAAAGACGAAACGTAAGCATCCTTCTTGCTCTGTTTTTTTTTTTCCAACACATCCATTTAAATGGTAATAATAATCATATACGCTTTCAGGTTTTTCATTTAAACGGAAGCCATGATTAGTTCAATAATGATGCGCTTTCTTCAATTTCTTTTTAATTTTTTTTATTTGATTTTTTCCCCCTTTCAACTACTACTTCTGATTATTGATGTTGAGGCCGTTGAGGTCCGGGGAGTGTGTTGCTCTGTCGCTTTCTTACTTTACCCTCGGATTCAGTAATCTAGAAAAGTAATTACTGTTTTTATTTTCTTTGTTTTGTCTGTGCCTCCTTTTTTCTGGGTTTTGGATTGGTGGCTTTGGAAAAAGTATTTAGCTGCCCAGAAAACAGTTTATTGTTGATATTCCGGAAAAAAAAAGAAGAAGAAAGAAGATCCATTTGCTTTAATTAAAGATGCTGATGCTTAGCTTTATTTAGCAATTTCGTCATTAGGTAGCTTTTGCATTTTCATTCGAGAAGGGGCATGGATGTTTTTTTTATATACGTCAATGAGCTTTAAGCAAATATACTAACATTTGGATATGGTAGTTTATTTCTGTAGAATAGCTGAAATTTTTCAGCAAATAATTTAATTAATACTAAAAAAGAGGATGCCTTTCTACGCATCCAAGTTGAATATGATGCTTTAAGCTGAGGGTTTTTTTTTTTTTTTTTCCTTTTTTGAGGTTAGGATTAAAGGCGAGTTGTTTGTTCCTTTGTTCACATCTTACGCTTTCTTTTACGTTGTTCTCCTTTATTAGATTTTTATATACTTCTGCTTCCATTACTTTATCTCCTTTCTTCTTTTGGGCCTTTCTTTTTTTTCCCTCCCATAAAAAAAAAAAAAGAAAGAAAGAAAAATTGCCTTGTTTGTGAAGCTATACTTATATTTAGTCTTCAAGTAAAAAGTAGAAGATTATCTTCTCTGTATTGTTCGGCACTCTGTAATTCTAGCTTCATTAGACACATAAGCACAGTGTCCAATCTCGTTTGTAATTGAATTTTGAAAGAAAACTAATGGTGTTGTCATTTCGCTATAGACTGTTAAAGTCATCTGCAATGATCCTTGAATAAAGTCGAAGTTTGGGTGGCTAGGATAACATTTGCAGATGCCAAAGAAGCTCAATGTTGGACCCTATAGTTCATTCGTCAACGAGTCATTTTTGCTGACAGTCACAGCAAGCCTAGTTGAGGAATTAATTTCAGTTGTAAATTACTATTGGTGCTAGCAAACAGCTTTATTGGTGTTCTTCATTTTGATAAAGGACATGAATTTTGCCTTTTATAATAACCTAAAAAGTCTGAATTGCCTTCATGATGGTTCTAGCCAACAGTTATTGGTGTTCTTCATTTTAATACTAGGCAAAACAAGAAAAACAAAAGGAGTTGGGGTGGGGAACCATACTGAATTGGCAGTCATATTATGCCTTTTCAAAATTCTGGCGCTGCTCATATTGGTGATTGTCATTCACTATCTCTTTCAATGTCTGGTTGTTCAAAGTCAATGTCCATTTAAAACCCTGGAGGAATCTGATTCCAACCTTTCTGACACTAGTGGATGCATTTTTGCTCTATGCTTGATTCTGTAAAGTATGTTAGTGTTGTGTCCATTGCGGGAGCATATCTGCTGTTTGTACAGCTAAATGCATTTGGGGAAGAATGCATAGCATCTACTATTTAACAAAATTTTGACTTCCGTGAACTTAGAATTGATCAGGGCTTGTTATATGATTATCCTATGGAGTTTATTTCAATAACACACGGGAAATGATGAACATAGCATTTATTACCAACACTGAAGACCTTTTGCCGTTAACTTGTTGAAATGGAATATGCTGCCTATTTGTTGGCTCTTAATCTACCAGCCTAGCAATTAAAATAGAAAATTTGCCGCGATCTCTTTCTGCCATCTAGCTTTTTGTAAACTGCATCTGATTTTTGATTAATTTTCTCCGTGCAGAAACAAGATTAGTATAATTGATGCTGGTGCTCTTGATCCAATCATTGGTTTTCTTCAGTCGGACAATCCAACATTGCAGGAGCATGCTACTGCATCCTTACTCACATTATCTGCTTCATCTGTGAATAAGCCTATAATCAGTGATGCTGGGATCATCCCTTTACTTGTGGAAATCCTAAGAGATGGGTGCATGCAAGCGAAGGTTGATGCTGTTATGGCCCTATACAATCTTTCAACACATCCAGGCAATTTGAGCCTGATTCTTCATGCGGAACCAATTCCGTACATGGTTGATTTACTTAAATTTTGTAAGAAGTCCTCAAAAACTGCAGAAAAGTGTACAGCTCTCATAGAATCATTGGTGACATTTGAAGAATGCAGAATTGCATTGACATCAGAAGAAGGGGGAGTTCTAGCAGTGGTAGAAGTGCTCGAAAGTGGTTCTCCTCAAAGCCGGGAACATGCACTAGGAGCACTCCTGACAATGTGCCAGAGTGACAGGTGTAAATATAGGGAACCAATTCTTAAAGAAGGTGCAATTCCTGGTCTTCTTGAGCTTACAGTTCAAGGGTCACCCAAGTCTCAGTCCAAAGCACAAACACTTTTGCGCTTGCTCAGGGATTCTCCGTATCCAAGGTCTGAACTTCAACCCGATACGCTAGAAAATATAGTTTCCACTCTTATTTCTCAAATAGATGGCGAGGATCAATGTGGAAAGGCAAAACAGATGCTATCGGAGATGGTACAAGTTAGTATGGAGCAGAGTTTAAGACATTTGCAACAGAGGGCACTGGTTTATACTCCAACAGATTTGCCAGTCAATAAATGTGCGTCCGAAGTCTCATCCAAGTAAATGTTTTCAAGTTTGATCTTGTACTGATTTTCATCATCCTTAAAGGTTTGCCCTTTCAAATTTTGATTCATAGGCGATAATAAGAAAAGAAAATATGCCAGTCCAGGCCTTTGTGATGGGTACGATGAGACTGGTGGTTCAATGTCGATATAATATAAGCTTGCTACTCTTTTCTGAAAAGGTACATTAGCCTTTTTGTTTACCACCTTTGTATCATAACATCTGTTCATGGAATATAAGCTTGCTACTCTTTTCTGAAAAGGTACATTAGCCTTTTTGTTTACCACCTTTGTATCATAACATCTGTTCATGGAAAATATACGTTCAGTTGTGGCTTTCTGTCTTCATTAGCAGTTCCTTCTTTCTAATGCAATCATAGTGTAAATGGCCCGAAACTGGCAGCTGTCTTTGTTGTTTGCTTGATTGGCTTTGCTAGTTCTTCTATTCCCACATAAATCAATCGGATAAACATTTTGAGACGGAATGAGTACGAATGACTTATTTCCAAATGTTGGTTAGATCTGTCGTTTACACACCTGTTTCTTCGAATAAAAAACGACCAGAACATGGTCAAATTCAAGATCCCCTTGTATTTTGCCATGGAGGTGCCGTCACAGTGCAAAACTTGAGTAATCAAACACCTCTCATGATTGATCATGAGATGAATCATCTTTAAACAACGTTGTAAGTATCTATCTCAACCCACCTGACATCTGTCCTGTAATTCAACCACCCCCTTGAAGATACTTGTGTAAAGGGGATATTCCAAAAGATTATTGTTTAATGCTTCTTCATATCCCGAGATGATGACAGTCGCTTTCTGTATTTTCTCAAAACAATAACGTTGATTTAATCAAACTATTTATTGCTAAAAATTGATATCTGGGAATGCCTTGAATGATGAATCAATTATTGTACATCAATACCGGAGGGGACCATCCAAGGAAAGTGACTCGATTCAACTCCCATTTTTCATTAATTCTCTTCTTAGCTCCAATATTCCTGAATTACAAAAATAAAATAAAATAAAAACATCCACAAACTGATATCTGGAGCCTATCCATACGGTATCAGTATTTTTGGAGTAGCTTAACTGTCAAAGCCTGAAAGGGCTAGTGATTTTTTAGGGAGCCTTGTTATCTTGTACAGTTGAGTTGGGTTTACCTGCAGTCAATAAACGTAAATAAAAAAGAAATTGTCCAATGTAGAAATACATATCAATTAATTTTAAATGAGCTCTTTTTGGAGAACCGAAACTCTTTCAATGAATTGCATGTACAATATATGTCACTCAGAACTATTTGAACCGTTTTAGTACAGGAGTAACAACATTCTTATTTTTTGAGGAAAGGAGAGAAAGGTGTATATAGATGTCTATTCTAATCCAATAAAAAGTACAGCACTAGCTTTACATTTTACAGTTCATCAACCTCATCAAGGACTAGTTTTCTTTTTCTTTTCTTTTTTTTTTTAAAAAAAAGTCAGAGTTAAATATAGTAGCAAACCAAAACTAATCCATAGTTATCATTATCTCATTAATAGTATTGGACACAGGTTTTAACGGGAAATTCGTTTAATTCTCAGTATTACAGAGCATCTTTTAATAAAAGGTAAAAAGTAATTTTGCATGAAGGGATAATCAAAAGGTAAATCTTTAATGCCCGAAAATCTCTGGATAAGTCATATACATTACAAGAGAAAAGCAGAAGAGTAGGACTAAATAATCCTCATTATAAGATAGTCATCCTCCTTAACTGTAACTGAATCATTGTACACATCTTATAATCATACCTCAGTTTTCATCAATCAAGTTCTATTCAAACCCGATTGCAGAATTTTCTTTTACGTTTCTGTAATTATTTTTTTGGATTTCCATAATCTGACAATAAATTGCTAGATTATGGCAACTCGTGACAGAATTCAGGAGGAAGAACCATCGAAAATGGAAGAAGGTGGCCTCATTATCAAGTGTGACACCGATTTCCTTTCATCTAAAGCCTTCGTCAACCTATTGCAAAAGGTAAATTCACACGAAGTATTACAGCTTTTATTAGTCATTTGGTTTCATGAAAAAAAAAACAAAAAAAATTCCAGATAATTTCAGGCGATTTATTTATTTATTTTGGGTTATTTTTCAATGGCAATTTTCAGGTTGTTGCAGAATTGGTTGGGACTTATTTTGTGATATTTGCTGGATGTGGTTCAGTAGCGGTGAATAAGATTTATGGAAACGTTACATTTCCAGGCATTTGTGTGACATGGGGACTCATAGTTATGGTCATGATTTATACCGTCGGCCACGTCTCTGGCGCACATTTTAATCCGGCCGTCACAATTGCATTTTCAATATACGGACGTTTCTCTTGGAAAGAGGTAATCGGCAATCCACATTTCTTTCTTACCTCTAATAATGTACGTTGTGGTTTTTTTTTTTTTTTTTTCTTACCTTTTTTTCTAACCAATTAGTACTCAAAATTATCTTTTGCAGGTGCCTTGGTATATTGCTGCCCAATTATTAGGGTCGACTTTGGCTAGTGGAACATTGTCGCTTATGTTTGATGTTGCTCCCGAAGATTATTTTGGTACTTTACCGGTTGGATCAGATAGACAATCTCTCGTTATTGAAATCGTCATTTCCTGCCTGTTGATGTTTGTTGTTTCCGCTGTTGGCACTGATAGCAGAGCGGTAACCTTTTTCTCTGCTCTTTGTATAGATTATATGTCAACATCTGTGTTTGTTTTAAAATTATTATTATTTAATTTGAATTTTTATAAATTATTAACTTGTTTCTCTGGTTAAAACTCTAGAATGCAAATCTTGGTGGACTAGTTATTGGAATGACCATCACATTGAACGTGTTCGTAGCAGGGTAATGATTTTTTTTTTTACCCCCCTAATTTGTTTCGATATATTTACATATTCAGTGAGTTTATTTTCAAGAAGATTAATGGTGAGATTTGGAAACGCTGCAGGCCGATTTCTGGGGCCTCAATGAACCCAGCAAGGAGTTTTGGTCCAGCCATTGTGAAGCACGTCTTCAAAGGGCTGTGGATTTACATTATTGGGCCGATCGTTGGAACTGTACTTGGAGCAACTGTATATAACTTGATTAGGTCCACTGACAAATCTTTCCCGGAGTTGTTTCAGAAGGATACATTTCTCCACTGCGTCTCCAAAAAGTAATTTTAGCCCATTTTTTTTTTTCATTGACTTTCTTTTCTTTTCTTTTCTACTACAACAGTGATTAGGGGACTAGGAATCTAGTCAGTTAGTATTAGTGAAAAGGTAGTTTTCAGGCATCTTTTTTCACGTTGTTGAGTGTGTTGGCTGGACCGTTTGTGTGCGGAATCATTTCGATTTTGATGGGAGCTCGGAACCCATATTTTCATAGTTGATTGAGGATTATTTTCTCGTACTCGCCTTTTCTTTTAAGTAGTCGCAGATTCCTGAATCTAAAGAGGAACAAAATATACTTGCACTTTGTTTTCACCGTTCTAACATCAAATATTATCCTTAGAGTTCTAATCTTATACTCCCTACGGCTCTTAATATAAGGTAATTTTATTTATCATATATTTTACCTAAGTATGTATTTTTAATTTTAAAAAAAAACCTTTAAAAAACTTCCTAATAATCAAGAGAAAATAACGAATGCGAAAATATATTTTTAAAGTTTTGTTGTATATTAAAAAAATATGTTAAGTGAAACTTTGGACAAATCAAAACGCCTTATATCAAGGACCGGAGGGAGTAATATACTGTACTTAATACTATTCGCTTTAGAATTATAATCTTATACTTGTGATGAATTATTGACAAATTTCGCCTGCATCACAAATAATGTTTGAGAACAGAACAAGAAGAGGTCAAGAACTCCCTTCACATAAGTTAGGGGTTACTTTCATGGAATTCAGAGAAAACCTTATCTTGTTGTAGTAGTATATATAGACAAACAGATTTTTTCTCTCAGTTTAATGATGCTAAATCTAGCCTTGAAACGTAAATACTATTGTTGTTTGCCAAATGCAAAATTTTGTATCATGTCATTATGAATGTGTGAAATTCGCAGCTCACAAAAATAGTTTACATGAAAATTTAGGGTTTGTTTGGCCAACATTTTGTTTTAGTTTTTGTTTTGGTTTTTTATTTGGGTTTGAGATGTGATTTAAAATGTGGTTTGAGATAAAATTTTAAAAATTGTTTGAGTGATATTTTAAATAAACTAATAATATTTTTAGACCACTACCGGACCACCTCCACCATCGCCGCCGCCGGCCGGCGACCGGCCAAAATCCGGTGGCCAATTCGTCAGAATTTGGTCGGAATCCCACCGGCCGGTCGCCAATAAAAAAATGAGTATTTGTGAACAATGTGGATTTCATTTGAAAATGAATAGTTTGGATAGGATCGAACTTTTGATCGATCCCGATACTTGGGATCCTATGGATGAAGAGATGGTTTTTTTGGATCTTATTGAATTTCATTTCAAAGATGAACCTTATAAAGATCGCATTGATTCTTATCAAAGGAAAATAGGATTAACTAAGGCTGTCTGACGGGCGGTGGTCCGGCGGGAGCGACGGGCGATTCGGTAGCGGCGGGTTGTGGTGGAGGTGGTCCGGTGGTGGTAGATGAAAATTGTGTAAAAGTAATTTTTAAAATATTTTTTAAAAGGTAAATTAAAAAATTGTTTGGATAGTATTAGGATTTGTGTTTGACACGTGTTTTAAGAGGTAAAATGAAACAAAAATACAAAATAAGCGTTTGGGCAAACAAGCCCTTACCAAAAACAAAATCTGGGCCAAAACAATCTTTAGGGACTTTTCAGTAATTTCGTCACATATAATCCAAGAGACAAAACTTACAAATTAAAAAGAAAAAAAAAAGGACAGAAGTCTCCAATGAATGATTTAACAAACTCCTCATTCATGAGTCATAAGCAGCTCATCCGAACCCGCCCGCCTCTGTTAGTTCTGATCAACTGATTAAACGCCCTTCCCTCAGGGCGTCGCCGGAACATCATTTATCTTTTATCCGGCCGCCGTTTCCTGTATACTAAATAAATTGATTCATATCCTTTACGGATGATTATTGTTGTAACCAATTGATCGTATTCGGATTGTTTTTACCCTGAGCGGGGTTCAGAGCACAGAAAGCTAGGTTATTGGTTTTTAGTTCAAACTTGAAATTGAGAAAAAATGGGAGATTCACTGGAGAGATTGGGATCAGATGGAGGAGCTACTATGATGAAAGAGGATTTGTGCATGGAGATCGATCCATCGTTTAAAGAAAATCTCGCTACTGCTGAGGACTGGCGAAAAGCGCTAAGTAAGGTTGTTCCGGCTGTGGTCGTCCTCCGTACTAACGCCTGCCGAGCATTCGACACTGAACCGGCTGGTGCTAGCGCGGCTACTGGTTTTGTCGTTGATAAACGCCGTGGCATCATACTCACCAACAGGCACGTTGTTAAACCAGGTACGTTTGTGAGAAAATAGTATATTGTGGCTGTGAAGTGCTGTGTGTGTGTGTTTATTTTTTATTTTTGGTCGGTAAGAGAGATGATCGATTGTATTACCTTTGTGTTTCTAGGACCTGTGGTGGCAGAAGCAATGTTTGTCAATCGTGAAGAGATACCAGTGTATCCTATATATAGAGACCCGGTGAGCAGTTAATTACACTTGTGGATTATATTTACATTGAATAGAAAACTTTCCATGGTGATATGTAGAGATGCGATGAGCAGTTAATTACACTTGTTGATTATGTTTACATTGAATAGAAAACGTTCTATGGTGATGTATAGAGATGCAGTGAACAGTTAATTACACTTGTTGATTATGTTTACATTGAATTGAATAGAAAACGTTCTATGGTGATATTTAGAGACCGGATGAGCAGTTAATTACACTTGTCGATTGTGTTTACATTGAATAGAAAACATTCCATGGTGATATATAGAGATGCAGTGAGCAGTTAATTACACTTGTTGATCATGTTTACATTGAATAGAAAACGTTCCATGGTGAAATATAGAGACTCGGTGAGCAGTTAATTACACTTGTCGATTATGTTTACGTTGAATAGAAAATGTGGTGATACATAGAGATGCGGTGAGCAGTTAATTACACGTCGATTATGTTTAGATTGAATAGAAAACGTCCCATGGTGCTATGTGCTCCCTTCATCAATTCGTATGGATTGCGCTGACTGCATGGTCTTGATCAACTTTAATTTGTGCAGTTGTGCTGAATATTGAAAGCAGAATACTATATGAAATTAGTGGAACTTAGATAATTTTTGCAATTCAGATAAAGTGCTCAAATTCGGGCCTCTTATCTGAAACTTAGCCCCTAATAATTAATTAAGGTCTCAAGAAACACCAACCGATGACCTTGAAACACTAGTGGGGATCATTCCTCTCTGTTGCCTGGCATTGAGCATTGTTATCACGATGTTTTTGATTTTAACACAAACTCTTAGTGGTTGCTGTTGTTGGATTCATTTGCATTGGATTTGTTCCTGACTTTTCCTCATCAATTATGTTGCCCTTGTTCACTAGGTTCATGACTTCGGCTTTTTCCGGTATGACCCTGCGGCAATCCAATTTCTTAGCTATGAAGAGATACCTCTGGCACCGGAAGCTGCTTGTGTGGGACTGGAGATAAGGGTTGTTGGGAATGATAGTGGAGAAAAGGTTTGTAGACAGCATCAGATTACTTGTATCCTCCATTTTCTTATTTTAATGTAGGATCAGACTGCTGTATCTCTATGAGTATCTGACCCACAACAACCCTACATCTTAATGGAGTAGTGCTTGATGAATCTCTGCCAATATTCATATCTAATATTTATCAGATTTAATTATATAATAGTTTCTGTTTTATAAAAATTTAACGGCTCCATTATCTGGGCATTACTATCAAAGCTATTGCACATCAATGATATTGTACCATTCCAGGTGTGTCCTGAAGTGCCAAGACCAAGTATTAGATTTATGTTAGTGTTAAACAATTCCCTCCCCCTTTCTTGATTTTGTTTGGTTGTGAGAGCTAAAAGGACTTTGAAATCCCAATTTCATTTGTTTACCATTCACCTGTAGGTCTCTATTTTGGCTGGTACCCTTGCTCGTTTGGACAGAGATGCGCCTCATTACAAGAAGTATGCCTCTGTAATTTTATCTGTTAGCCTTCGTTTTTCTCTTCCTTTAATCTTCCCTGTTTGACTACCTGCCGTTAAGTGATGTTAAAGCTATCCTTTGCATTTGAAGATTGTCCATAGATTCTTCTTGTTCTTTCTCCTGGCTAGTTGAGTGTTTATTGGAGCTTTACCTGCTTTAATACGTTTTTGTTTGGTTGCCACAAGATCTGTGCTTTTCTTTCATAAACTTAAACCTGTCATATGTGATTTGACATTTTTACGAACTTACCAGGACGAATACCATGTAATGGAGTGATTCCACTGGTTTTGGGAAATATTTACCTGCTGAAGTGTTATTTTACCATTCCGACCAATGTTCCTTTACTTTAACTTAATACTTCTAGCATTAACATTTAAACAAATTCGTAACTTAATTTGCTTTGTCAAACACTCTGACATGTTCCTGTATTTTTCATATTTTTCTCTAGACAGTCCTTTGATACCTTTTCTACATGGTGTTTCCTCAACCTTTTATCTCTCACTAACGAAATGACTTCATAATTTTCGCAGAGATGGCTACAATGACTTCAATACATTCTACATCCAAGTAAGCACAATTCCATTCAGTGTGCGCTTAAAAACGCTAGGACTTAATAACTGCTTTTGTTTTCCACGAACTGATTTATGATTCTACTGTGCTTGAAATTTTATCCAGGTCCTTTGCAGTCCTTTCACTTTAATAATTCTTTAGGGTTGTGTTATAGAAATTATTATTTGTTGCAAAATGTGTCTCTTTTCACGTGCAATGTTTTTTTTATTACAAATGGAGATGTTCAAATATGATGTTGTTTCGCAAAATGTTTTCATGGATTTATTTATTTATTTTGGGGGCAGGGGGTGTGTATAGCCAGATTAAGACTTTAAGTTTTGTGTTCCATTCTGTTAGTCTGCTCCCAGTTATGCCCATGAACAGCAACTTTATATGTTGGCATGTTGATTGATGGTTTCTTTCTTATTGTGTAAACAATTCTAACTGTTGCCGTTGTCTCATTGCCTATTACGCTTTAACACAGGCTGCTTCTGGCACCAAAGGTGGTTCAAGTGGTTCCCCAGTCATTGATTGGCAAGGTAGAGCAGTTGCCTTGAATGCTGGTAGTAAGTCATCAAGTGCTTCTGCTTTTTTCTTGCCTTTGGAACGGGTAAGTCATTCAAAACCTTACTCGCTCGCGAATTATGAACCAGTTTACTGCTACCTTTAGTGGCCTCTTTCACCTGTCTAGAGGCTCTAACATACTGTTGTTGACAGGTGGTCAGGGCGTTGAAGTTCTTACAACAGGGAAGAAACTCATTTACTGATAAATGGGCAGCGGTGTCCATTCCTCGTGGTACGCTTCAGGTTTGTTGGTTCTGTTCCTTCGGGTGTTACTATGAGCCCTTGCCAGGGGGGAAAATGATAACATTTGCTAGAGAGTGAAGCATATCCAGTATCCTAACGTTTTTGCATATCATGTACGACTTTCTATTTGCTGTTTCCTTGTAAAGTTACAGACAAATTTTTGAGAATTGTTGTTCTTTTGCAAAAAAGGCTTTTTGTTGTTGTTGTTGTTCTTTTGCGAAGGGATGGTCTTGCTCATGAGGAACATCTTTATTGAAGATGATTTAGTTCAATACGAAAGGGTTGTGACTTGTGATTGACTCCTTAGCATTCGCTTACCTCATATTCAGGTTATAATTGTTAGTAAATACTTTTAGAGATGTATTTTATGAAAAGATGAAGGTAATGGTTAGAGTAACTATTTGGGAAATTACTTCATAGACAGATTTTTTGCACTAAAGATCATAAGATATCCCCAAAAAACTTTGAGCACTTCTTTAAACAAACGTTCAGAGTTAGCATAGTTTCAGATAGTGGCTTTTGTATATTTATTATTCCAGGTTAAGGATATGTTTTTGCTTGAACAGTTTTCATGATACAGTATGACATGGAGTAAGTGGTGCCTGGATTTCTTCTGCTCCTCTTGATATGGATCCAAATTTCTTCCGCTCCTCTTGATATGGATCCAAATTCATTTGAATCGGCTTACTTTTCTTCCCCTTTGCTCTCCTCTCTGAAAAAGCGGTTCTTTCGTTTGTTCTGAAATTGTCAATCATTATATTAGCTGGCCATCCCTGGCCAATGGTGGTGCCAGGTCTGTTATCTGTGTGATTAACAATGTTTTCTATTTTTATTTTGAAGGCCACATTTGTCCATAAAGGGTTTGACGAAACTCGTCGACTTGGTCTTCAAAGTGAAACGGAACAGGTTAGTAGGAATATATCGTTTTCATTGGTCATTTCACGTGAACCATAAGCAGAAGAATTAGGGCCTAATTACTCTCTTTCACTAATTTAGCTGGTCCGAAATGCATCTCCACCAGGCGAAACTGGCATGCTAGTTGTGGACTCGGTGGTGAGTGTATCTCCTTGTAGTTTCGATTTTTTGAGTTATATATTTTGTCTTCAAACTCTGATATGCAAACACTTTTCTCATTTTTCAGGTACCGGGTGGTCCAGCTCACAATTGCTTGGAGCCAGGTGATGTGCTAGTTCGGATGAACGGGGAGGTGAGATTTGGTGAATCTTACCGATATTCATTATTTTTCTAATGCTTCTGTACTAGCCACCTTTTGTATATCTTCGCGTACTAAATGGAAACTCTTGGATTTTGATATTATTAATTTTCCAAATCATACACACTATAAATTCCTATTTTGATCCACTAAGAATTCATTTGATTGTTATTAATTGTTGGCTTGATGTAGGTGCTTACTCAATTCCTGAAGATGGAGACTTTATTTGATGATAGTGTCCACCAGAAGGTGGAACTTCAAATTGAAAGGGGTGGCAAATCATTAACTATGAACTTGGTGGTATGGTTTACTATTTCTTCTTAAACTTTGTATCCGTGCAACTTCTTGCATTCGTTTTGGGAAAGTAGCGTTTGGTCTTTTTTATGTCCATGAATAAGTACTTTGGACTCTAAATATCTTGTGTTTCAAACCAAAATTTGTAACTTTTAGTTGAATTGAATGAGTGTGATGACTCCTTATTGACAGTCCGTTCTTGCTATGAAATGAGTCGATTAATGGGCATAATGTGGGTGAAAGACCTTGCACCAGTGTTGGGCAACTGTTGTGGACTTTGTACAGTGAGCCGGGTTATTTTTCCTGTGTACCTGTAATGAAATTAGTATCATTTTCGCTCGTCCTGGGGAGTTTGGAACAATTTCTATTAGTAGCATGTGGTGAATCATGATTCTGAAATGAGAACTGAACTGCTTTAGTTTGGGTTTTCTCTTAAAATTTTTACAAGTTCATGTTAATGACTTTGTTTTATCTCAGTTTTCTTTCTTGCTAGTTCTTTCAGTGTGTTGTCAGTGCTTTATCCTTCATGTCCTACAGCTCATTTTTTTATGGCTATTATTTCAGGTTCAGGATTTGCACTCGGTGACGCCTGATTACTTCTTGGAAGTTAGTGGTGCTGTGATACATCCTCTATCATACCAACAGGTTTACTTAAATTTTGGAAGCTTCCATTTTTCATCTGCTGGTCCATCATCATTTGCTCCTCTCTCTTGAATGGATATGCAGTCTTTTACTGTATGTTAAGTTATTTGTTAGGTTAGTTTTTAGATTTTTGTTCCTCTGGGGAGAATGTAATTCAACCCCATTCCTGTAAAGGATACGTACTTGTAGCCAATTTCGCCATTTTGATTTCTGCAGAAGGAACTCTTTCATGTTATATCACTTTCTTTTGGCTCTAAAATAAGTATTCTAGCTTATCCCCTTATTGTTACTCTTTTTTGTCTTTGTTGCAGGCTAGAAATTTCCGTTTTCATTGTGGTCTTGTCTATGTTGCTGAGCCGGGGTATGTACATGTTTTAAGGATTTCTCCATAATTATGTTTCTGATTGGCAGTGTGCGCAAATCTGTCTTTTAATGTTCTTTTTACAAAAACGAGCTCATTTAAATTGCCGAGTTTTTCAGCCCTTATGGAGATTCCACTGGTCGCATTTATTTAATGAATTTTTTGGATGACTTCTCTATTTATCTGAATAATTCTCGTGAGGATACTTTTTTGTTGAGTGCAGGTATATGTTCTTTAGAGCTGGAGTTCCTAGACATGCTATAATTAAGAAGTTCGCCGGTGAAGATATATCAAGGGTTGAGGACTTTGTAACTGTTCTTTCCAAGCTGTCTAGAGGTGCAAGAGTGCCCCTGGAATACATAAGCTATGCTGATCGTCATCGTAGAAAGGTACCCGATTTTTAAGCCTTTTTAATAGTTTATAACTGAATAGGGTGTTCAGTAGTGTTTTTAACAAGATAGCTTTATATCCATTCCATCATATAAATTAACGCAATGGCGAATTCCCTGGAAGTTCTTATCAAACTTATGCAATTGCGTGGTGTTGTATTAATGTGTTTCACAACTATTTTGGATTGCAGTCTGTCCTTGTCACAGTAGATCGACATGAGTGGTATGCCCCTCCAAGGATATATACTCGTGATGACAGCTCTGGATTATGGATAGTGAAGTTGGCTTTACCATTTAATACTCCAGTTGCTCCTCCATGCTCAAACGTTGTTGATCTAGATTCAGAAAGAGATATATTACCATCAAACAGTGGTGTGGTTAGTCCAATGGAACAGATGCATCAGTTTGTCTGCGACTCAACGGATGGTGTCACCAGCATGGAAACTAGTTTGGAACAAGTTACGGATCAGGAAGAATCTGATGCTGGAACCAAAAAAAGGAGAGTGGAGGAGGTATCCTCAATTGATGGAAATGTCGTTGATTATGCACTCCATGAGCCAGGGGAGGAAAGGATGGAGGATTCTGGAGATGCTGGAAATGGAATTTCAAGAGATTATCTACAAGCTGCAAATGGAGCGGGAAATGCTTCAGTTGCTGAACGTGTCATAGAGCCGACACTTGTGATGTTTGAGGTAAAATTTTACACTTGCAAATTAAGTTATTCTACTTATCCATTCTAATTTTTAAGTGGTATTGGTGTATATTGATCTTCTCCCATGTGGTTCCTTCAATTTACATTACAATTTGGATCAGACCTCTATGAAACTAAGGTAAGTTTGCATGCCTTGGGCCTTAATAACCCAGTTCTGGACGCTGCTCGTGGTATCGCTTCCATTATCTATCATGCGCAGGTTGTCCTTTGCTTTGCATTGTAATTTTGATGGCCCCATCACAAAGTGTCACCTGAGTGGTAGGAGGATGGCTATAGGCTACTTAATTTCTTACTTAATTGCTCCATGGGTCTGCCTATACCTGTTTACTGGCAGTTAGGAAGGATATGTTCCATCAATCTAGTTATTCCTTAGTGCCACTGACAAAGTAAAAGTTGATATTGTTGTAATATTTACATTATACATACAGTATGTACTTGTCTTTTGCGTTTAGGGTGCTTTTGGAACTTACTGTATATTTCTCACTTCTCAAGTGTTGGTTTATGTTTATTTTGGTTTGTCTTAATTAGATGCAGTAGATATCGGTGAACATTTTTCTGCAACTATTGTCTCAACTCCCAAGAATTCTAACTATTAATTTAAAGAGTGCGAATTGGAGCCATCTTATGTTCTTGTAATTTGTAGTGCTGACTTCGTTTTAATTTTTTAATCTCAACGTTTCTGATACACAAATTTACAGGTTCATGTGCCTTCCGTATGTATGATTGATGGAGTCCACTCACAAAATTTCTTTGGAACTGGTGTTATCATATATCATTCCAAAACCATGGGATTAGTTGCTGTTGACAAAAATACAGTTGCAGTATCTGTTTCTGATGTCATGCTGTCTTTTGCTGCTTTTCCTATGGAAATTCCTGGGGAGGTAAGACTTCAATTTATGTAAAAGAGGTGCATGGATGACATTGAACTTATTTTGTTATTTATTGGTATGAATCCTCCATAGGTGGTTTTTCTCCATCCCGTCCATAATTTTGCGCTTGTTGCATACGATCCAACTGCATTGGGAGATATTGGTGCCTCTATGGTGCGTGCTGCTGAACTTCTTCCAGGTATCTTGATGCCCTAGGATGTGTTTTTTTTAGGGAAACTTTTGATTTTATTGAGATAAAATACTTCAGCTGCACATAAATTCTGACACTTGGTATATATTCTTGGTATATATTCTCACAAGAACTGAGAGAATTCTTGCATCAGTTTATTCACTCCTTAATAGTTTATACGATAACTGGGAAGACTGCCAAAGAGTACTTTATAAGGAAAGAGAAGTCAAAATCCAACTATATTGGGTGGTGCGGGATGTTTAAAATATCATTAAAAACTATCGTATATATAAAAAAAAATATCGTATATGTAGTTCGCAAGCTTTTGCTTCTCTATTATATATAAAAAAAAAAAAATCATTAAAAACAGTATTGTAGTTGTGTGGTGTGTTTAAAGCATCGTTACGAACAATATATGTTGTTTTGATCCTGAGTTTTGTCATGAAGTCCTTTATAAATCTATAACGTAGTGATAACTGAATAACATTTTTGATATTTGTTTGCCCTTTCCCATGAAGTGATGTTTAAAGTATCACTGATTTGCCATTACCATTCAAAGCTAACCGGTTTTCAACTTTACAATGTCCCTTATTCATTTTCATGTACTGATTGGAATGGGTGTGGATAGTTAGGTGCATAAAAGGGATTTGAAATTTTATCTCGCAAATGTTTCATCCTCATTCTATGAACCTAATATTGGTTTTTGTTATGTGTGAATGTTTTTTGCCCCACAAGTAAAGGTCAAAGAACATTGACCTGTTCATTAATTTCATACCCGGTTAAAATTTATGAATTATGAATTTTATCTACAGAACCTACACTTCGTCGAGGAGATTCCGTATGCCTCGTTGGTTTGAGCAGAAGCCTCCAGGCAACGTCAAGAAAATCTTTCGTCACCAATCCTTGTGCTGCATTGAACATTGGTTCAGCTGATTGTCCACGCTATAGAGCAACCAATATGGAAGTTATTGAGCTTGATACTGGTATGCTTCTTAGAATTATTGCTATCCTTTCTTTGTGAGCTTAAGGATTATTTCCGGCTCCGGAAAGGTTGGAGTGCAAATATAATTTATTTTATTGTTGGACTTTATTTGGCAAAACTTTTTCCTTAACATTTAAATTTCAGATTTTGGCAGTTCATTTTCTGGTGTATTAACGGATGAGCTTGGGAGAGTTAAAGCATTATGGGGAAGCTTTTCAACTCAGGTTCATACATTTTGCTTGTTACCTTACCTTATGAGTTTTTGAAGATATAGTCTCATGTGTAGTTTTCCTATTTCTAGCTGAAATATGGTTGTCATTCATCTGAGGATCATCAGTTTGTTCGGGGGATTCCAATCTATACTATCAGCCAAGTTCTTGATAAAATCATAGCTGGTGGTGATGGTCCTCGGCTCCTGATAAATGGTGTAAAGAGACCAATGCCACTTGTCAGAATATTGGAAGTTGAGCTATACCCTACTTTGCTCTCTAAAGCCCGAAGCTTTGGGCTAAGTGATGCTTGGATCCAGGTACAATATTCACCTGGGAGGTCTTTTTTTAGTTTAGTTTTTGTTTTTTTATCAGCCCTTACTGATTTTTGGAGTTTTGGCTTAGGCTCTTGTGAAAAAAGATCCTATTAGACGTCAAGTATTGAGGGTTAAAGGGTGCTTAGCAGGGTCAAGAGCTGAAAATTTATTAGAGCAAGGTGACATGGTTCTGGCAATAAATAAAGTGCCAGTCACATGTTTCCATGGCATTGAAGAAGCTTGCCTAGCTTTGGACCAGGATGGCAATAGTGATGGGACACTTAAAATGACAATCTTTCGACAGGCAAGTGGCAGCTGTTGTTCTTAACTTTCTCTTTTACTTTCTGAATCTGTTTGGCAAATAGAATAATGTTGCGAAACTTGAGGGCATGCATGAAACAGTTTGGCAGCAGTTTTTCTTTCCTTTAATATTCTTTTTGGTTTATGATGTTGCAGGGACATGAGATGGAATTACTTGTTGGAACAGATGTTAGAGATGGTAATGGAACAACTCGTGTGATTAATTGGTGTGGGTGCATTGTCCAAGATCCACACCCTGCAGTGCGTGCTCTTGGATTTCTTCCTGAAGAAGGCCATGGGGTTTACGTGGCAAGGTAAGAGGTTTAAACTCCTGTTTTCCCAAACTATACCATAGATTCTCACCCTTCCATGCCGTACAACTAAAAATGTTACTCTGATGAGCCTTGTCTCTGATTTTCTTTTATGCAATTATCAACCTTCGGAAGGCAACTATTTGGCAATTGCTTGGAGCTCAGTCTCCTTCTCTAGACATGAAAGTTTTATTTCCTTTTAGTAAGGTGATTTCATTAATGAAACTCAATAACTTGGGGTGGAAATTGCCAGGTGGTGCCATGGAAGTCCAGTGCATCGATATGGTCTATATGCTCTTCAATGGATTGTCGAAGTTAATGGGAAACGCACACCGAATCTGGATTCTTTCGTCGAGGCAACAAAGGTATGTCAAATACATTCATTGTATTGACAAATTCTATTTGTAGTCACTTGCAATTGTTGCTCGTTCGACTGTGAACATAATACCATGGTCACATCCACGTGTATGTTTTCTGTTTTTGGGCTTGGGGGGGTTGGGGGGGGGGGTGTTTAAGAGTTCAATTGGTGTCCTACCATGAATATGCCATTTTGTTGTCTGCCTTTGCTTGCTGAAGATATTTCCTCCTGAAATGAGTTGTTACCTTGGATCAAAGATTCTTGGTCATTGGCCACATCTCCTGATAACTTGAGTAAAACAGGAATTGGAACACGGGGAATTTGTCCGTGTCAGAACTGTGCACTTAAATGGGAAACCTCGGGTACTTACCCTGAAGCAAGATCTACACTATTGGCCTACATGGGAGTTGAGGTTTGATCCTGAATCTGCAATTTGGCGGCGAAAGACAATTAAAGCTTTAGATTGTAACATCTCCCCTTAAAACATGTGCGCATAGGATTACATTTCTACAGAGAACGTGAATGGCTGAGGTTTTCACGGATTATACAGGTTAGACATGAAGATCGCACGGTGAAGCCGATACGTGCTTCTTGGAGGAGTATTCTTGTCTGAACTGATTAAGTCTGCTCTCTACCATAGTATTGGGGTTTATTAGATGTGGTAGTAGCCAGAAGTAAAATAGATATTTGGTAAACTGTTTTTTATATTATTATTAACATCTGCCCTGCCCCACTTTAAGCTGCTTTCACACTGCTAAAATCGTCATGTAGTTGAAGTTTTCCCATACAAGATTCGCCTCAATTGGGTTTTTCAATATTTTGGCTGTGTTTTAGATATTTAGTAGTATTAAAAGACATGCACTCTTCAACCCCCCCAAAAAAAAGGGGACAGAGGTGCACTCACGTGTTATTTCTTTTATTATATAAATAGTTTGTGGAGAACTCGTAAATAAAGAACTTATTTATATAAGTCATGAAATTTAACGTTGAACCCAAAAATAAAATTTGATATTGAACCCTAGTGGAGCAAGAAAAAATGTAGAAAACATTACTGAAAATCTGCCTGTTTTGGCTGTAAACCTAAAGCTTCCAGAAGAAAGTTCAAAAAACGGAAAGATTGCTTGGAGAAAACGATTTCATAATGTAATGCATCATATTACGGCAAGCGAGACAAAGTAGCGATGATGGTAGAAATTTTGAGTCCATATAAGATAGATGATGATGCAAGTCACGGCTGACCGAGAGAAGAAGACTAATAAGAGCGGATTGATTAAGAAATTTGTCACCGACGGAAAGCTAACGGACTGCTTTGACATTTTGGGGGGATCAATAATTGCGTTATGTCTAGTCCCATATGTTTTGTGTCATAGTTCATCAATGAATTGATCACCCTGAATTGGTATTTGAGGCTTCTGAGCTGGTTTTAGTTGTTGGTCGTTTGTTTGTGTTATTATTAGGACGGCGACATCTCAACATAATAAGGTAACATTGTTTGCCACCCTCGAGATGTTTAATTGGTACTAGTAAAAGAAAGTGAAATTACATTTTCTTTTCTTGCCGCGGTTAAAATTTCTGCAGCTGCGAGGTCGGAAAAACATTCTGCTTTCATGAAATGATTTGTCCCAGTTGCATTTCTGGGAATCACAACAAAAATGTAGGTCAATATATCGTGAAGATTATTTCAAGAATACGATAAAAACTTCCTTCATCCCAAATTGGAAAACCACCAATCGTCTTGCGCGTCAGACACGACCACCAATTTATTTTACTGCCCTGAGAACCTACAAATTCGTTGTCGGCAATTTACAATGGCTTGAAGAGTTGAAGCTCATTATGGACGACGGCACGTGAAATGAATGGCATAATTAAGCTGATAAGTTGAGAAAAATGAATTACAAATGGAGAGAAGAGAAAAAGAAGAAAGTGATATAAAATGGTCCTGACTCCTGCCTGACTGTCTAGCTTTTCTAACATCACTCTCCGTGGGAATCTTTTATTGCTGCATTCTAGCCCTGACCAATTTTTATTACTGGAACAAATCCACGGTTCATGCGGTTGAACTTGAAGTTAAACTTGAACCAAATGCCACTTCTGGAGTACTCCTTCTGCTGCCTTCGACTAGAACCAAAAAAAAAAAAGAAAAAAAGAAAAGAAAATTCATAAAGATAAATACCGTAGTAGAATCATTAGGCTCAAGACTACGCATGTAGTTGATGGAACGCTGAGCCCATTTGCTGAAGAAGGCGGAGGAGGATTCAAGAAATAGAATGGGAAGTAAGGCAATATGGGATTTGGTGGGGGAGGTGCATTGTAGTATGATGGCCCTTGAGGTGGTGGATAAGGCCAGTATCCAGGTGGTGGAGGAGGGCTGTAAATCGTGCTCGTCGGCGGCGGCGGTGGAGAGCTATAAACTTCGCTCGGTGGAGGCGGTGGCGGAGAATAAGTCGGCACCGGCGGCGGAGGGCAGTATGTAATTGGTGGTGGAAGGCAGGAAGTACATGCAGTAGTCTGAGCAGCCACTCTGGACCCTGATGATGATGAATTCAATACTACAAATATCGTCAAAGTTAGCAGCAAAGGGAGAATTTGGTGGAACTTTTTAGCCATGGCGAAATGGTGCATTTAGGACATATGGGAGAAATGAAAACACCAATAATTCTAGTGGATGGAATATAAAGCAGTAGCAAAGTGAAGGAGTGAGTGTTTGGAGTGGAAAAATGGTAGGAATGGGAGTGAGAGTATTAGATGAGGAGGGGTTTTGTGAGGAAGGGTTTGGATGGAATAAATCACATTACTTAATTGGAGACACTGAAAGTAACATTTGTAACGGAATCATACACTTTTTTAGGGTCATATTCATTATAATTAAAGGGCTATTCCAAAATTTTTGGTTTTGATTTTTTGAGGAAATGTCTTATTGGACGTGTAGATAGATGATCTCTAAGTATAGAGCTGTCCCCCTTTTGATGTCATTATTGTGGACCTTTTTTGTTTTTGTTTTTTTTTTTTTGTTGCATCCATTTCTTGGTGAAAGTCATCAAATAACCTTAATATCTTGGTGATCTCCATAGATAGTAAGTGGTTGGAATTGGAACTTGGAATTTCGAGAGCTTTGAAGGATTCCAACTATTTGACGTTGGTGATGCATTAATCATTTTAAGTGTTAGAAATCAGATGCACTAATTGATTTACCATACGTGTTAGAATCAAAATTACGTGTTATTTAAAACTCAAATCTAATTAAATCTTTTTCTGATTTTCTAAGCAAATCAAATCATGTTTTATAATATTCTAAGTTCTAACAAAATCAAACTAATTAGTACTGGTATCATATCAGATCATGAACAACTCCCATTAATTACACAAAGTATGTATTTGAATTTCTAAAATCAAAAGTCTGGACACTTACACTAAAACAGTTCAATATTCATGTTTCTTGTACAGTGTAAATATAATAGTGTGACAAAAAAAGAAAGGGAAAAGGAGCAAAATATAATATAGGCTTTGCTTGAACCTTTTAGGGCGGCCCATCATCATGAAATGGAAATCCCCAGAAGGCTTGAAGTAACTTCAAAGCAAATTTTTCCAGGACTCAAAATTGTTAAAGTCTCCAAGCTTTGCTTCTGGCTTCAACATTTCAAAAGGGAGAAGATAGAAAAAAGGAAAAAAAAGGCTACTATTCCTGGGTCCTGTTCTTTAATGTGGGTTTCAAAGGTGAAATTCGCATCAGAATGGTAAGATAAGAAAAGTTTTTGACAGATTCGCCCACTCCAGATTATCTCATCAACTGGGCTTTTATCAGTGGCACTGTCAGAGTGGAATAACGTACGATTCAGAAGTCTCCAAATCTGTCAGAACTGAAGCAAACCTTATACTGCAACTAAAATAAAGTACTTACTTTCATTTCATTAAATAAGGAGCTTATCTACGATTGATGCAATCATTGTTATTGTCATATAGTAGTAATTCAGATCATTCTGACTTTTTCTTTTCTTTTTTTCTGAACCTTCATTCAGCAAAATCTTTTCGGCCAAGGTTGATTGGTTAAAAGTTTGTCTGGATCAATTCAGACAACTAACGAATGAACAATTGACTCTGCATAAAACAGAGTTTCACAAGTAAATAAGTGTGACATTATAATAAATAAATCCTGAAAATGCACGAGTTGTACATGAATAAATTAAGTTTCAGATTGAATTCGAAAGAAAATCCAATCTAAGTAAATGTGTTTTTTGCTTCCAGTACTATACTATATACCCCCATAAAAGGCCATAGATCACGAAAAGAAATAATCCTAAGAATGCAGCAGAGGATGATGGGTTTGATGTAGCAGCATTGTAGATTTCCAGACTGTAAGGATCGGTTGGATACAAGTTCCCCGGCGGGCCGCCGCCGATGATGTAGGTGAACCGGGGTGGCGGCGGCGGAGTAACCGCTTGAGCTGTCTGGTCGCCGGGGTTTGAAAAATAGTAGAACCTCGGAGGTGGCGGAGCGCAATTCTGGGTCGTCTTTGGTGGCGGCGCGGGTGCCGGTGGTGGTGGCGATGGTGGCGGCAGCTCCTGACTGCATGGATTTCCACATGGGCACTCACCACATTTCATACTCGTCTTCGGCATTGATTCCACCAAATCTGCTCGATCATTGTTTTCGTTACTGTTAGCATGAATTGCAACTAAATTCACAAGGAACAGAATCATAGTCAGCTTCATCTTTAATACCAATGGACTATTCCGATGTTTCCACATTGTCGGTTATCTAATAAGGACTTAAATAAGGATGGAGAAAATGAAATTGGGAGTCTTTTTTTTTTTTTTTTTAGGGTAGTTCGACAAATGAACTTTTTTTTAGGTTGTGGTGATTTCAGGGGATGACTTAAGAATGATTTTTCAAGTTGATGGTGATGAGGAGCTGATGGTTGATTTGCATGGAGATCATGAGGCTATGGATCATCATCAAGAACGTTAGGGAGGGAAAAACAGGGTCAATGTGGTTAGGTAAGTAAAAGCTTTAAATGGGAAGGAGGGAGACTTGGTATTAGCAGTTATTATGAGCCTGTTTTGTATGGTATTTTTACAGGAACGTAAGGCTTTTAGCTAAGAAAGAAGCAAATGCTTGAAAGCGAATGGCATGTGGCTGTTGTAAATAGGGTAGGACAGCTTTTAATTTCTAGACTCGTTCTTCCTCTCTTCTTCTTCTATCCTCTTTTTGCATCTCAAAAATTGTAGTGGTTTTAAAGGCTCTTCAAGTGAATCAGAATATGTTCCCTTTCGTAAACGGAATGATGGATGAACAGTTTGGGAATCAGTAGTGTAGGGGAGATTATGATCGGCCAAAAGAACAAGATCAATGCCCCCTTTTCAATCATCGCTAAAATGCTCGTGTTTGCAGTGTTTTTGTACCCTTAGTGACAGACTAGCTAGAAGAAGCAAATAAACAAAAGAATTTGGGAGCTCCAAATTGAACTAAAGAAAAGAGTAGTACAAAGTTGGCAATATCTTATTACTTGTGTTTGGCTTTAAAAATGTTCAAAACCGAAAGCATCTTTGTTTCTCTGCTTTTTTCATGGCTTACTAAGTATGGTTTTAGTTTAATGGCGTATTTGTGGACAGAAGACATCTTTCAGTTCTTGAGATTTCTACACATTAAATGTTGTCAGCTACCCAAAACAGAGGAGTAGGGCATATTGAGCATCACTTTTTCGATATAAAAGTGATAATCAGCGGTGATGAATGGAGTGGTGAATGATGCTTGGGAGGCCAAAGAGAAAGAGAGAAGCTACCTGCTGACTGTTAAAAAGGCTCCAAAAGCTATCTGCTTAACTTAGGGGTTGTATGGGGAATCTGATACGCTGGCTGGCCAAAAATATTCGTCAAGTCATTCACTTTAGTTTGTTCTTTCCTTGTAACGAGAGGCTAGCTTATAAACATTGTTTCTCCATTCGTTTTAAGGGATTTCATGCACAAACAATGCGTTCCGAGGTTAATCTTGTTTAGGTATTAAGTGGAATTGATTGAATTTTATTTATTTATTGATTTGGTTTCAAAGGGAGCAATGGTGCACACGGGCGTGACTCGAATTCATGACTTATTGATTAACAGGTGATACGTCTTACTACTAAATTGTACCTTGTTGTCAAGTGGAATTGAATGAATACTTTGAAATGACATAACGAAAAACACTACTAGTTGGGAAGTAAAACAATTGAACCCGCTTCTCATATAATGAAACCGTGGATACTACGTGATGTGTAATTAAGGTTCTACATCCCATGAAATGCTGTGTACTTGACTCCTAGCTTTTATGCCTCCTTATATTAGTAACATCAACAACCACAACAACAACAACAAAAAGAGGGAAGAGAGACATAATTAAAAAAAAAAAAAAAAAAACCAAAAACTATTCTTGGAGACTTCAAATCCCCGAGGAAGTTATACTTCGATACAAAATCAAGAATTTAGCGGTGTCATGTTTTCTAACTAACCTCATTCCTTAAGGGCCTAACCAACTTGAATATGTAACCATCTTTAGTCTCTAATTTATTTCCACATTTCATCAAATAGAGTTATATTTTGGCATCTTGTACTCTTTTTGATGGATCATTTTTATCGTGGTGAAATTCTTGCATTCCAGATTAATCAGTGAATAAAATATGCAACAAATCATCCACCTTGTCTAGATGATCATGATTCATTTACTCCATAAACTAGGTGGATGAGTGTTATGCAGTTTGATTGGAGCTCAGAAACGAAGAAAACGACCATTTAATTCCAAGTTGAACGTAAGAAAACGTTCCAAATTTTTGTCGCTTCAAAATATCAGAGAGAAGGCAACTAGAAAATGGCGAAGAATGAATTCAGGCCCAAGATTTATGAAATGGATTTCAGTTTGGGTTTCCACATGGCCCTAAAATAAAGCTCAGTAAACTGGTAGTATAAAAAATAAAAAATCGAGGTTTTAAATCCTCAAAATCAGTTGGACAGTTTGACTGAGTTTATCCCAGAAAATAAAGAAATGAAACGTAAGCGTCGAATCACAAAGGCTCCGTCGATCGCTTTCAGAATACGAACACGTGTACCGGAAAAGGGCATTTCCCGAGCTGCCACGTAAAAGCCAGTGCCTTGCTGTTTCCCCTGCCACCGCCACTATCCCCATCTTTCTTGTTTCAATCTCACCACAACAACCAAAAAAAATTCTCTCCATTTCAATTTAATATTGTTTGAGTCTGCTTTTCCCCTAACTTTAAATTCATGATTCGGTTGGCTAATTTCCTTCATTCCATTTCCAAGATCATTGTTTTCTACTACATTGTATTGCTAGATCTCTCCAGACGATAAAACAAGAACAAAAAACAGAGCAAATTAAGAGAAGAAAGAATCATCCAACCCAATCATGGTTCTTGGTGTTCCTATTTGTGTGCAGTGTGGCACCAGGAGCAACCCCTGCCGGTGCAAGGTGGTCGGACCCACACTCGGGTTCGTCGCCTTTGCTGCGGCGGCGCTGGTGGAGTGGCCGATTGGAGCTTTCGTTTATATCTTTCGCCACAGGAAGGGCCGCCGCATCATGGGTCATCCCGCCACCGTGGTTTATCCATCCGTAACAAATTCGATTCCCATTTAATTTAATGTTATGTTGATTAAAAAGTGCTCGATCCTTGTGTTATGATCCTGCATAATATATAGTTTCTTTTAGTTTCTTTATGTCTGTTGTTATGATCCAATAGTAGTGTGAGCCCAGTTTGTGCTAGGATTCCACGTGTGTGGGAGAGAATGCTGTTAGATTTGTCTAGTGTGATAATCTATCCGTCGTGATCACAACAAATAAAGTTACACACAAACAAATTTGTTCAATTGTTGTAGGCCGAAGTTTTTCTTAACCCCCCCCCAACATGTTACATAATGTTAATTTTCGTGAATTAGCACTTTGATCCGGTCTTACTTATCAGTCAACCGTCTTAAATCGTGCTACTACCTAACACATACTCCATCGGTCCCAAAATTATCGTCCAGTTTGAGATTTCGCTTTTAGTACAATTTGAACTAGAAATGAAAACTCAAACTGCATAATAATTATGGGACATGGGGAGTACTAATATTGTGTTACGGCCTTATTTATCTTGCACAGTTACGCGCACTCGTTGCATTGGCCCCCTGGTAGTTGGTACTTAAAATTATGTTTGGAGACGGCAATAGATGAGATATAGGGCATTATACATATTATTATTTTGTAGCTGCTTTTTGCTGGTGAATGTGTTGTGGAAATCAATCAGATGCGGACGCTACCAGAAAATTTGGTCTGATACTTAGTCACTATCCAGCGCGAATAATTATTAGTATACTACTCGGACCCTTGTCTTTATTTTTGCTTCAATAAAGTTGCGCCACTTATGAATCATCTTATTCTTAGTAGCACAAGAGCCACACAAGTTGTGTAGGTTCTTGACATTCAATTCTGTGAACTAGCAGCTTAACTGGACATTAAAATTCTTTCAAAACATTGTCAGAAAACGACCCTTGAACAGATAGCTGGACCTAGATGACTAGTTAAGACCCCTAATTAATCCCCGTTGTAATCATTACCAAATTGATCTGATGAATGAACTCCAAAGGAAAAAAAAAAGAAGAAGAAGGTCAATGAAATTACTCACATAAACCATCCATTATTATTTTTATTGGTACTTAGAAGAAAAAGTAAGAACTGTAGGGTACTTCTGGCGCTAGCTAGCTTCCCTTCCAAGTGCATTTAGCCGTGCGTATTGGGCCCGATCGACCTGTGTGTATATATATGTTAAAGACTTGAGACAAACCGGGCAAAACTAACTGGTTTGAAATTTCTTTAATAGGAGGAAGCAGTGAGCAATCACACTTCAGTTGACGCTGACCGGAAGTCCACCTCAATCTTGACTCCCACAGCCACGTAGGCGACGACTGTCGGTCAACAGTCCAATTGTTCACCCAAGAACTCGATTAAGTTCCACTAATCACAGGCAGTCAATCGACGGGTAAACTACGTTTTATAACCAATATGGAAAAATCCAGATTGAATGGTATCTTTCCTTGACCAAATATTTCCTACCTTAATAGAACCTAGAAGATGGTTATGGTGATATTTTGGGTGTATTTATAAGTCCATAAACCCAGGGGTTAAAATCCCAATTTGGTTGAGCTATTAAACATCAATCATCTTTCATAAATACGCTTTAATTTATTATCATCAGTAGGGATATTGTACGGTTAGAAGGTCTTCATCCGCCTGTTTGTTAGATAGGCGCATATATTTTTTCGGCCAGGAATTGCACATGAGAGGGAATTGAGTTAGCATCCCATTTTGGTGAAAGTCCTTCTGTCCCGAAATCTTCACCCATAATTCTGGGCTCAGATTTCTATCACGAAAACACGGCTTAGTGGTTCTGTACCTTAAAAGAATAGAGCCCCCATTGAGCCCCTTCCGGTGTTTCACCTTTTTTTATTTTTCTTTTGGTTGTCGCTCTTTATTATCCTTGTTTAGCCATGGTGAGAATCCTGCCTAATATCCCTGTCCAGGGCTTACATTTTGTACATCCATCACTTGCAATTGTGACCATGGCGATTGCTGTTGTTTCCATTCTCTCTGTTGTTGCATTTCTCTGTGGGTCTGAGAGAGCTAAGAAATTAAACCGACGTCGGGGAGAAAAACCTGTCCGGTTAGGCAGTAACAAGACTCCTGTTATGAGGCTACAGAGCAGCCTGAGCAGTAAAACTCATTTACTGGCAAAGATGATTTCTTGGAGGAAAGTACAGGACGATCAGGGAGATGGGGATGAAGAGGATTTGGGTCATTTTGATGGTCATGTTGTTGATGATGATGAAGAAGGAGCTGTTTGGAAGAAAACCATCATCAAAGGCGAAAAATGTCGGCCTCTGGATTTCTCAGGGAAGATTCTGTACGATTCCGATGGGAATCTAATCCCTGATTCATCTTCCCATCCACAACAATCCCAGTGATCGTGTCCCTCACTTTGCTGCAATCAGCCGGACCCAGTTCATCAAACAATTTCGTGTTTTGTTAATTTTGTTTTCCTTATCAACTACTACTATCAAGCATCAGGTGTTTAGTCATCTGTTTTGCTGTGTGGATTCTGACACTGTTCAACTCTGTGCCTGTTTTTTCACCCCCTTGTTCCCGTTTCCTTTTTTATGTTTTTGGGCTGTGTTTAAAATAAAAGGGCTTGTGAATTAAATTTGTTTCCTTCTCCCCGTAGTGAGTCCGGTGGACTGTAGTCTTAAAATGCAGCCGAAACGGTCTTGGTTTGTAAATTCGATACCTAACGTGGACCAATGTCAGTAACATTTAGACCAGGTGACTCTGTAATTGAGTATTAGCTTGAATTTCATACAAGTATGGGCTTTCAAGTTCCAACGTAGTAGTGTTTAATCGCGTTGGATTCTTCTCCTCCATAGCTAACTTCTGAGGTGAGTTTCTTCGAGAGCCATGACGCTATCAAGTTATGAGACATTTGCGAGGCTTTGTGGCTTTCAACTCAATTTTGTTGAATTAAAGAATTTGAGTTTTGCAACTTCTGGCTTTTGGATGAGGGTGAAGATATAATAAGAGTAAACCATCATCCTTTTGCCTACTAATCAAAGGGTTATCCCTTCTTTTTACTTTAGATTTTTCAGCTTGCATTATGCATATAATGACTAATGAGATCAACCTTTCGCCCACTTTTATAAAATTGGACCTCCACTTTTTTGGGCCTTATTGACCACATTGAAGCCGAAATGATGATTACGCATAGACGTCAAACTTTTTCATTTAAATTATTATCAAATTGTCATTTTCTTACTTCCCTCTACGGCTCTACCTATGATTTGCAACTGATAAAGACAAACTCGGATAAATATTTGGACTATCCAGCCCCATATTTTGGCATGATAAACCGAGAGAATAGGATAAGATTCAATTGGTTGGTTGGTTGGTTGGTTATTCTCCTTCACATCACCAAAACCAGATTTTGTTATCATCTGCTTAGAATTGAATATACGTGCAACTGAACCACTTTGCTATTGCTTTAAGTATCAAAAAGAAGGATTATTAAAACATCAAATGAATGGTTATCAGATTATGCGATGACCGACCAAGTTGATGATGTCCAAATTTCCGTTATTATCTTAACCTGAGTCTCATCAAACGTAAGACTATAAGAAAATCTTGAAGAGATTTAAAAGGCAAGAACGGTATATATAAATTGGGTTATAACTTATATAAAACAAGAACTAAAAGTACATAGCATTTGATCGAAAAATCACATTAAAGCAAGAAGGACGAGAAGAAGAAGAAGCTAATTCTACGGTTCTGTTCTTATGTACAAATTGGACCACAAAGCGAAAACAGGGGAGCTTACTTCGGTAACTTCTGCTACAAATTCTGGGCACTACAAAGCTGAACAATTCTCTCTGCCAGTTCCGTTTCATCTTTGCTGTCTTTAGCTAGCTTCTCCAATTGAGCCCTCGGCAACCGGAGCTTCACCTGCGTCGGTCCTGCTGCCGGATCCTGCCGCCGGCCGATTGACATATCAGAACCTGACTTCCTTGATAACATCAAACACTCTAGCCTGTCTTTGGCGCTCGTATTAACAGCAGATCGGGTTCTTCTGGGCACCTTTTCTTCCGGCAATTTGGGTAATTCCACAAGAAAATATATCTTCTTGGGCTTCAATTCTTCTTCAGGCTCTAATGGCTTTGCCCTGATTCCGAACCTCTTCACCTTTTCTGACTCCAACAGAACATGACCCGGGTAGTCTTTAATCACGTCTGTACCAAATACGGGCGTCTTTACCTTGAACGTTTCGCCGGAAATCTTCATCACTTTTGCTCTGTTTCTTCTTCCTGCAACTCCGGTGATGATGCTGTTGCCCATCTCTCAATACGAACGGAATGAGGTAAAGAAAGATTCCCTAAATAACAATAAAAGAGTAAGAAGTTGTGAGGAGTGGGAATGTGGAGATGATATATGGACTCTGATTTATCTATTAAAGATGACATTTAGGTAATGATGATTTGGATAGTGAAGTGGGAAAAGGAAAAGAAAAGCCGAAATGCTCATTTCTTTTTTGGTGCTCAGTTGTCGTCTTTGGATTGCGCACATATCCCATTTTAACCCAATTCCTGGTTAACTTTTTTTTTTTTTTTTTTGCTTGTTAATCTGGAAGATGAATTTCTTCATTTGGCGGGCTCACAGTTGTGATGACTTGTAACGACTACCCATAATACGTAATTGCTTGCTCATTGGAGTCTGAACATTGAAGGATTCCTTCCAATATAGGGCTTTGAAATTTTGAACGCTTTCTTTTAATTCAAGCCTTTCGGCAGCTGTAATGGTTTACCTCTCCGCCTACGATATTGTCCATCTCGGATCCATTAGAAATGAGATCAAATAGTAGCATACAACTAACAAATTTAAAAGTGGTACCACTTTAAAGTACAATTACAATCGGTAGATATTATTCCAAAAAATATCTCACATTAAGTTTTTAAATTTGTATTGTTATGGCTCAAATTGTACTAAAAGTAAAATTTCAAACGACAATAATGATACAATTGTAGGAGCCTATATTTTGTTTGAAACGAATAAGCATTAATCCATGCCTTTCAGCTCGAAAGAGTCAAACATAACGTTTACGTTCAATTTGACTTTTTTTTAAAGTTTAAATTGTATTAAAAATAAAAATCTAAATAGGTATATTTTAGATAGAGGAAGTATATATACTAATTCTGATCTTCTATACATTAATCAATGGTCTTACACATGTATTTGTAGGGACTTATGCTTGTCGTATGAGCCATATGTTTTTAACCATTTGCCTTTTTTTATTTTCCCGAAAATAACAATTTGACTGGATACACCATTAAAAATAGGGTTAATATCAAAACACCCGATATTTTGTTTACCTGATTATTTGAAATACCCTTATTGTTTAAGAAAATATTAAAAAAATTAAATCGGTAAGTCAATTATAAAAAAATGCACCGGTGACTAAGAATTAATGTTTTCATATGAACTCGGTTAAAAAAAGGTGTCAGAATAATGTTTGAACCCTGTAAAAATTCTCATGGATTTTTTTTTCAAATTATAATAAAATCAAATATCAACTTCTAAATCTAAATTTGGCTTCTTACGAGCCTCGAAAGCTGAATTTTGGATTTTGAAATATATATATATATTTAATTTTATTAGAGTTTGAAAAACATTTAACAGAGTTTTCACGAGATAAAAACGTCTTTTTGACTTCTTCTTTTTTTTATATTGAATTCATCCGCACATCAATATTCAGTTGCCAGAAGAACCTTTTAATAATTGATTTGCTGATTAAAGAGTATTTTAGATAAAAGGTTAAAATGATATTTTCTTAAACAATATTTTAGAGACAGTTAAATCTCATGGTGTTTTTTATATTAACCCTTAAAAGGATTAGAATATAAGAGAGTGGAAATTGAATAATAGCCCAGTGGTTAGAATGTTGTGTTTTATGGAATTAGACTTGGTTCAATTTTTACAAATGGGTATGTAAGAGGGGATTTATCGTTTTACCCACATTTAAGTGAGATCTATAAGAGTGGATTTTTTTTTTATATTTTTAAAAATTATAAAATAAGAGATAAAAAACGAACAAAAGGAAGAAAGTAGCTTAACTTCCAAGTTATAGATATCACCGGTGGCTATTTGGAAGTTGTCACGATCCGGCAGATCGGAGACTAATTCGGAGGGATTCTCCGGTAAAACTACAGATTAAACTATAGGAACTAGGGTTCTAAGGCTAGGAAATTGGGAAAAACGAATAAGAGAGAGAGAAACCGTAATTTCAGATATTAATTCATTATCAATATTATGTAATGGTCCCTGGCTGTACACCTTCTGACTATATATAGCCTATCACTCGGATATTACAATTTAACCCCCTCACTTTACTAAAAGTCAAGACTGCCCCCTGTATGTAACAGAAGCGGACGGTGCAAACCCCAGACGGCCAGACTCTAAAAGAACAGGCCGGCCCAATTACACATTTATTGTAGCCCAAGTTCCACCTCAAAGCATACTAGAAAGTTTTATATATTAAAAAAATGACATTATACTGATTAACCTTACAAGACTACATAGACGTGTTTAATATAGTTTACATCATACTCTGTTAATTTGTAAATTGAAGTTCTGTGTTTTCATTGACAACCGGCCATGGGATTTGATTTGATTATAGAGAGGGAAGACTTACAAGACGGCACTAACCGGAAAAACGTAGACACAACAGAAAGTCCACATTCCGGGTAGGGCAAGCCATTCTTGAACGGTGGTTAAAACTTGAAAATCCTTGTTGACCCTTTGATGCGAAATCAGAATCGAAGGTCAAACATTTGAAATTGATTAAGGGACCGTCATGCATAATTGTATCTATAAATATTGATCAATTCAATCATATGAGCTTATTTATCCTCTGTCCACTTGGGAATGCTTTATACTTTTGTACCACTTGTGTTTCTCTGTATAGTGATCATCTGTTTTTTTTTCCTTTTTTTTTTTTTGGGTAGTTTGTACTATATACACATTGAAATGATAGAAATTTCATGATTTCACCAAGGCCGCGACATGTTTTAGTATCCTTATACCTTTAACATCCTATTAAGTTCATAGTCAAAAGAGCGCAAATTATATTGAGCACCCAGGCGTCTGCTCATTGCTCTTTTTTTCTTTTTTCTTTTTTCTTTTTTCTTTTTTAATTTTATTTTTGTATTTTATTTTTTTAACCTTATCAAAAAATTTTAAATGTAATTTCAACTACTTTTACACATGTAATTAATAGGTTAGGGTTTAATATGTTATATAATGTGAATAAATTATAAATTTTTTTAATTTAATTAGGCTAGGGTATCATAATTAAATTAAAAAATATAAATTTTTTTTAATTCAATTAGGTTAGGATCTCATGATTAAATTAAAAAAATTTAAACCGAATAAAAAAAAAAATAGGTTTAAGTATTTTAATTAAATTAAGATCTAGTGATTAGTGTTTAGATTGCTTTTAAAATAATAAAATTAAATAAATTAAAGAAATTTAAAAAAAAAGTGGCAAAAAAAAAGGGGTGGGCGCGCATCCGCCCCGTGCTACCTATAACAACTGAACGCATTAAAAACTTTGTATTCACCTTCATTTAGTAACTAGATGCTTGTCCCAGGCGAATGTCCGGGTTTTTTAAATTGATTAAATAAAAAATACAAATCATTTTTAAAAGAATAAAAAAAATTAGAAGAATAAAAAATCGATTGAAAGGACAGAAAGTGAGTTATTACACATAAATCTATGCCCAGATTTATAATATTTAATTTATAACAGTTAACTTATGTCCGTGTTTACATAAATCATAAACCAATATCTACAACAGAAAAATAAAAAAAATCATCCTTAAAAAATCAAATTTCTTTCATGACAGCTTATTTTTTCTATGTTGTAGAAAGAAATGAATTGATAATTGATGTCAGATTTTAAGTAATTGATTTAAAGGCCCGAGTGTGAGAGAGGAGCGTAATGGAAGAGATTCTTTGAAATTGAGGATTAGGAAGACATTACTAGTGTTTCACTTGATTTAAGGGGATTTCCTTACATTTGATTTTATCAACTAAATATTGTTGTTTTAAAGGATTAGTATATACCTATAGTTAAAATATTTTTATGTAGTTATAATTAAGGGATTTATGTATTTATCTATTCTATTTTTTTTGTTCTGATTAGTTAGAGTGCCACGTGTCAAAAATGATTTTGTACTAAAAATGGATTTTGACGGGAAAATTTTCATTGTGGTGCTGACACATGTCCTTTTTGTTTGCTGCTTTAATTAAGTACTATAGATAAGAAAATGGAGTTGGAATTCATCAAACATTAACCCAAAAAAGAAACACTTCTTAATCTCCAAGTCTCCAGCGAATTAATTAGCCTATTCAACCAAGATATTCATTTATAACTGAAAATGAAATCCTTTTTTAGCCTACACGTATTCAACCAATATATTCACAAGGAAAGGGGCTAAAATTGCATATACCACGGGAAAAAAAAAGAAAAGAAAATCATGCAAAGAAATAAACTGACATGCAGATGCATTGACAACAGCAGGTTTCAATTTTCTAATCAGCAAGGTGTTAAGGTACTAGTCACGTTCAAATTTCTTATTTAGGTAAGAGAAATACATACAGAACAGAGTTCAAAATTTCTCTATTTTCTTATTTATTGGTGGATCAGCATTTTTTGCAAAACTGCGTACTCGTCGCTGCTTTTTCGAGTTTGAGAGGATCATTTAATTACAATGAAATTAGAAAGCAGATAATAAACTAGCCAACCGCCAGCACTGTACCCTATTAATTCAAAAAGCCCTCTAAGGATAAGTTCTTTATTCAGGGTTGCACAAAGTAACAAGACAAGCTCCAATATTGCAGCTCTTCTTCAATGATCCATGCATGAAGACTTCTTATACTATTCCATGAAGACTTTTTAAACTATTTATAAAATTGCGACCAATTAATATTGTACTACTTCTGTCCGAGAACAATAATTGTAGAACCAGATTTCAGAACTCATAAACAACTTTCTTCGAAGCAACAAGAAACATTAAAAAAACGAGAAAGAAAAAGAAATAAATCCTAACATAAGAAACAACAGATATTTGTGTAAATAAAGAAGTGAGTTGTTTATTGATAAGTAGACTCAAAAGAGGTTTTACAAAGCAAAAATAAGGTAGAAACGATAACTAGCGCCAGCGTAATCTCCATTACCCATCCATGATCATGTAACAAAATCAACTCGGAACAATAATCAACGTCCATTATAAAACACTAAATTATTTTGATAAAGTACGTAATCTAAATTATGTCAATGAGTATGGCATCATTGTTGTTGGGTTGATTCGCTAAGGTGGGATGGATACGTGTGGAAGAAGAATACCACCAACTCTTGTTGGTTATAACACACTGGAGATGGACCAACTCTTTGACGCCAAAAGACAATATGGACGAGAGACCACAACATAATCCAAGCGATCCGAATCCCAAGGAAAAGTAGAACATACGGTTGTAATATTCAAAGAGTTGGAGATCCGTTAGGGTTTTGAACTGGTGGTGCTGAATCTTTCGCAAAATTTGGGGGTGAAATAGTTGGTAAGAGGCGGCAAAATGGCAAGATACGATGGAAACAAAAGGGTGACAGAAGCGAGGAACTTAGGCTCGTCGGGGCCGCCGTCCAAAAACTGTGCCGCATTGGTATCAGGGTACTGTTTTACATACCAAGCGAGGGAGGGGAACACTAAGATAACAATGACGCCGAATCCGAAAAGGGTGCAGAATAAA